TCCTAATGTTCCTTGATGTGGAGCTGTCCTCCTTTTTCCTGAACTTGGGTTATTTTAAGTGTCTATGAAATAGTGTAGTAAGCATGCCCAAAAAATAGCAAATTCTTCTCCAAGCCAAGAGTAGCTTGTGTTGTTTCCCTGATGAGGTATTCTGCAGGCATGAAGAATCAATGCCAAGGTCTGTAACTAACTTTAGGTGTACAGCTGAGCTTCTCTCTATAGTCAGCATATACCTATATGTGACTGCCTTGAAACTTGGAAGGCTCTTCGAAGAGGCCTATCTCTTGACTACAGAGGGAGCTAAAGCAGCTGGACTTGAGAGTTTGGTGCCTTAGTTGAATGTTTGAAGATGAATCCATATATGGTTATAGGCTTCGACAAGAATGATGCGAGGATCCCTAAAGTGTGTGCTTTCTATAGGCTTTCACAGGGTTTACTCTTATCAGTTTGGATTTTGTTACAAAGTTCTCTTGAAATTGAGAGTTAAAACATTCTAAGGAATAAAGGGGAGGTACATCTTTGTGTAGCCGAAGCCTTTGGTAAGGGATAGATGTGTTAGTGGTATTGTATGTGGCTGAGCAGAACATGTTCCACTGCCTGTATTATCTTGCTTTCAGCTATGACCCTAAAATGGCAAAAATTGTCAAAGCGTATGTTGTTCAGAATTACTCTTGATTGCAGCATCCTTGACTGATGAACTAATTTCACTTTCAGCATCCTTTGGGCCGCATAAACTTGGCTAATTGTACCAACCATCAGATTGAACCTGCCAACAGGGAGTTCTGTGCCCGTCCCAACACTTTTGAACTAATAACTGTCAGACCTCAGAGAGAAGATGACCGAGAAACTCTAGTCAGCCAATGCAGAGACACACTCTGTGTTACAAAGTGAGTGCATAAAATCATGGAGGTTGTGGGAGGCTATCAGATGTGTATGGGATGGTGTTTTACCTCATGTGATAGTTTTAGTAACATAGGAGCTTTACAACTTTGTCATATCAGTGCTAAGCTCATTTAAATGCTAAGATTTTCAGATGGCACTTGAGCTGTTTGGTTCACTTGTAGACCTATTTTGTCTTTCTATTCCATTTCAGTATTCTAGGAACAAAGAACTCCACTTTTATAGAAGTGGAAATGCCAGGTGGCTTGGTAACAGGACTGTGGAATGTTTGACTTCATTTTTTCCCCTGCTATTTGGGCTTCTATGGTTGATCAGTTTGACATTTTTCATAATAACTAAGTGGAGGTGGAGAATAATCCACTGGGTTCTTTGCCTTTTAGGAACTGGCTATCTGCTGATACTAAAGAAGAGCGTAACCTTTGGATGCAAAAGCTCAACCAAGTCCTTGTTGACCTTCGCATGTGGCAGCCTGATGCCTGCTACAAACCTATTGGAAAGCTTTAAACTCTGGAAAGGAAATATAAAGAAAATATGCGAAAATCCTCATTAACTAAACAAGAAAAGAACTGAAATGAAAATACGGGAAGTCCTCTGGGTCACTTATGCTTTAAATTGAGAGAGTATTTAACATTATACAGGACTGTGTTATGCAGTATTTTTATTTCGCTTAAAAAATTTTAAAACTTTCTTACTTCCTAGCTTTTGAGTATGGTAGGAAGCAATTAGCTGTTTCTTAATATTTATGTAACTCCTTTTTTGGAAGTCTTCTAACTAGGTACATTCTCTCCTTTAAAAAACTAAATTATTTCAGGAAATCACACTTCAGGGCAGGAAGGGAGGCACAAACTAGTGAAAAACAAGCTTTCTAGATAACTCAGCTCCCTGAAAGAAACAATAGCTCAAAACACTCCAACAAGGATGCTGCTGAAGTACAAGATTTAATGTTGGAGGGTTTGTTGGGATATTTTGTAAGGATCAGACATAGACGTTACTAGTCAATTTTATTCTACAACATGCAGCATAGATATTTCTTGCTTGTACAGCATCCTTGCGGTCAGAACAATAGAAATGCACAATATATTCATACTACTTTTGCAATTTCTTATACAAACCAGTATGGGTAAGTGCATGGCATGTACACTATGTGATTTGCAGGTGTGGAATTACATATGCAGTATATTGCACTTTGATAGAAATGAAAAGTCTTGAATATTTTTGTTAGGACTAGTATATGAAAACATCTAACAGAGAAATTTAGGTTTAGGATTGTATGCATCAGTATTTCCTGGGACTTGTGGTTTGTACAAGCTGGAATTCTCCATTTGAGAACCAGGAATAGGTTAATAGATTGTAAAAGTGCTTTTTTTTTTTTTTTTAATAATAAGACTTTACAAAGCTGCTATGTACCAACTAATACTCTGCTGGCCAAAAGTACGGGTCTTCCTCCCCTTGACAGACGTGCACAAATGCATAGAAAAGCAGTACTTGAGACCCATCAAAATGGCAAAATTTCTCAGTTAAAACTTGCAGTTTTCACAACTTTTCACTGGGCTTAGTGAAATACCAGCTCATTACTTCACTATTGCAAATGCAGTAGTGGAACACTTGAAATTGCTATTGCTGTTACATATTCACACTCAAAACACTAAATTCTGTTAGCTTATACTGTTTTCATCCTGCCACTTTTGTACTTGCTTTTAAATCATTTTCTTTTTCCTTTATGTCTTTAAATATTTCCAAACTATGTATTGAGATTTATTTTATTCATTTAAAATAAAAAATTACACACCACCTGCTTTTATCATAGCATTTTCTATGCATTTGAAACACTAGTTTGTAAGCTAAAGAAGTAGTGCTGGGATCCACACAGTGTTTGAGAAAGGATTCTATTTTGTGCGTGTATCACAATTCCACTTTTTTGAGAAGATCATTTGAGGCCTCGGATGTAGCTAGCACCAAATTTTGTAATGAGAGGCCAGGTTGTCCATGTCCAGCAGTTCATTACATATGAAGAGGAGAGATTGTTCTTTTCTTTAGTGACAGAGACAGGGCAGCATAGTAACAGAGTAACACAACATGGACAGTGCAAGGGTAAATTTCATGCTGGGTATGTGGTAGGCTGTCTTCTTAAACTTCCAAGTGGATCTTAAAAATCATTAAATATAGAATTATCAAATGAGTCCACAGAAAGGTGCTAAGAACTGAACTGGATTTATCCAAGGGAACAACATATTTTTATTTAGGTTGATTGGGCTATCATCCATTGTAGAAACCGATCTGTGTTTGTTCAATGACCAAAAAGTAGTTATCCCTCATCAAGGAAAGGTAAAAAGTGTAACAGGTGGTGTAAGTTAGAAAAGCTGACCTGTGTGGTGAGTTCTGGGCACAAGCTCTCAGTGGTAAGGATATGGGCTACTGCAGCCAGCAGAAGCATGGGATGCCAGCTTAGCTGCAAGCCTGCACTCACAGCTTTACTGACTTGCACTGCTGTGTGCCATCTCCTGCCATGCTCCTCTGCTCTTTTAAGGGTGAGCTGAGAATTTTGCAAAAAAAAATGGTGATGTATTTTTTCCATGTTTGTAGCAGATCCTTTTTAAAGAGGCCAGACTGTGTGAATTCAGCTTTAGGTAGCTTTAGATGTTCTATACCTCAAAAATAGTTCCTACTGTCTGATTTCAAACAAAGCTCTAAGTTTTGTAAAAACCATTTACAGAGTGAAGTCCAAAGAAACCTTCCCATTTGTAGTGTGTTGGACCGAGCCAGTGACATAATCCCTGCTATATTCGCATGCTCTGACTGACCCCAAAGAGACCTTGACAGACCATTCCTTCTAGAAATACATATTGCTATAAAGTTTGAATTGCATGGAACTATACTTAGCTTTCCAAGAGAAACTTTTTATTTCCTGTTTATTTCTCTCTTCCCCATGTATTTGTCATCTTCAACCAATCTAAACACCAGGAGACGGTTAAACTAATGGAATAGACTAGAATTTGTAGTTCATTACTGCTTTAGCATAAGTAAGCTTTTTCAGCAGCATTTTTTTTAAGCATAGGACATGTATTTTTAGAGTGGTATGCGTAAGTGATTGATGGTTGGGGGTGCAGATCTTCAGCTGTTTTTTGCATTTGAAATAATAGACACAGTGGTTGTAAAAGCTGATGGCATAATAGGCCCAAAATTCATCTTTATTCGCAGATAGTTACTGCGTTACAAATCAAGTTTCTGCATACAGCCCAATTTGGAGCTGCAGAGCTCAACTCTAAGGCATGAGGGCATGTGCTTTGGTCAGTGCAACTCCAGCCAGAGGCAAGCCTATTCCTTGGTGTCCCTCAGAGACCCCATGTCCAGCATGAAGCAATGGCACCGGGCAAACCTGAGAGCTTTGCTTTGTGGTTCAGCCATGGTTTCAGGTTGTCTCTGAGAAGATGTTATAATTGTATAAGAAACGGGTCTTTCCATTGCTTGAAAATTCAAGAAGTTCACTAATATGAAAGTCTCTAAGTGAAAAAGGCTTTGCTCTGGGGAATGAAGCTTACTTTAGCTGAGGAAATTTCAGTTTTACTAGTTTGTAAAATTCTTAATTGGTGTTATTAAACCTCAAATGAAATACAATAATTTGCAATGAAATTGCCTTGAAAATTAGGCTTCTAAACACAATTCCCTTCCCCCTTTTAATTGCTACACTTCTGTATGTTAGTGTAGAGGAAATCATCTGATATTCTGTAATTATTGCCAGTGCTGTACTTGGTCTATAGTAAAACCATGTGAATGCACTTGTTTCTGTCCTTGTGTTATATTTAGTGAAACATAAGAGGCCTGAATTGGTAATAAAAAATAGAAGGCGTTCTACCTGGCCAGGATGCATGGAGTGTTACGTTGTTTGGAAAGAACTGGCACAGAAAGCAGGGAGATTTCCTTCTAACGTCAAATAATTTCCCCAGGCATTACTCTCTGGAGTTGAAACTATTTCTTGGGAGACTGGATATTTTGGTAACATCTAAATGCCTTGAATGAATTGGGGCCTTATTAACAAGTATCATTCAATTAAGGAACGTATTCCCTTTTGGTTTCCTAAAGTAGGTGACGTGAATATTTACTTAAGTGTTAAAAATTCCTTTGGGATTACTGCTATCTTAATAAAAGACGTGGCATTGACTGTGCTCTAAAAAAAGGAATAGGATCTAGCAAAGCAATAATACATGCTTCAATCAAAATAATATAAGCCAATCATCCTCTGCCTATTCAAAATGCTGAGCGGGTACTTCTCCTACAGCCAGGCATCTCCTTTGATTTGGACCACAACCTAAGAGCTACCTTATGGGTGAGACAGCCTTGTATAGGGGATATGCTCAGAACAAAGAGCAGAGCAGGACTACCTGAGCTTTGGCCAAATAGGGTGGGGTTTAGTCATGTCATGTTAAAGCTTTCTGTTTACCAGATTTTTTCTGCCTGTAATTAATGCCATTTTATGCTGTCTGATCCCTCCATCATCAGTAAGGTTGTGAATAGGGTAGAGCTGTCTCTAATTTTTAAATATTTATTTATTTTGTTAAGAGCATGGATAAGCTGGTGAAAAAATACAGTAATTCTCAACATTCAAGTCTATCTATGAAGTACAGCAGCTAAGGGCTGCCCAGTATTTTCAGTGGTTCCTGGGTCATGCCTGTAAAAGACATAGGACTGGGCATATTATTTGTTATAGGAAGATAAAGAGCAAAGATGTATTACAGGTTGAAAAAGCAACCTGTTTTCAATACATGAAGCGTTGTCAAGTTAGTATCTTATTAATGGGGGGAAGAGAACCTGTACTCAGTCAGCCTGTGCTAATGCTGCCAGGCAAATAAAAATTGTAGTGCCTTGTTATTCCTGGCACGTTTTAATAAGCAAATAGCAGCTAAATAATGTATTGACAGTCAGAGCAATTACATACACGCAATTTATAGTAACATAATGAGTTTGAGGTTTCCCCCACTCCTTTTGGATCAGATTAACCATTGAAACAGTACAAATGGAAAGCCAAGTAATAATGTTCTGCAGGGGGGAAAAATGAGGTAGGGCTAGAAGTTTGCTATCTATATAAAAAAAATTATGGATTTGCAAATTGGTACAATAAATGGTCTAGCTAGCAGGTATCCTTTGATTTTTATTTTTGTAGCTCCGCAGAAAAAGCATAGCCTACTTGTGCAGGTGAGATACAAACTGAAAAGAATGCTGTTGTGCTATGTCCACTGCTACTGGCTCTGATAACTTCCCCTCCCCTCTTTTTTGTGTGTGTCTTTAATCATCTTGACTCGTGGAATGCACTGGGAAGCATCACCATAAATCACGTTATGGCTCTGGCAGTTTGGAAGTCAGTGTCCACCTTGATCTTTGAATATAGCTTCAATCTGGTCATTGAATGGATTCTCCTTTCCAAGCACTTCAGGCCATTCCTGTAGTGCCTTCTGCCAGGTAATGCTTGTTCCAAGGGCTGCAGCAATCTGCAAAAGCACAAATACCATCAGTATCTCATGTCTCTATAATGTAATTATTTCATGCCAGAGTTTGGAACACCCCACCATAAGGAAACCTGTATAGCCACATGATGGACCGTAATCTCTAACCAAAGGAAATCCCCCATTCCAGCTGCTTGACCAGGGCAAAATCCTTCTGAACAGTAAAAATATGGTGAGGACCGTATATCTGCACCCTCCTGAGCAGTCGTTTGTCTAATGATAGTCTGTGTCTACCCTTTTTCTAATGCCTGTGATGTTTAGTCCATAAACTGCTATTCAAAAGCCCTAAAGTATGATTTTTATTTTTTCCCCTGTTGAACATTTTGAAAGTATGTCAAAAGCACTGCTTGGATATAATGCATAGAACTATTGTAAGTTTTAAAGAATTCATGCTTCTAAATACCTCTAGTACTTCTAATAAATGTTCTCTCTGCTCTCCTGGAAGGAAACCATGTGTTGAGGAAAGAGGCCCAATTATATCCAGTTTCAAAACTACCTTGCTCTGATGCTCTAAGTTTGCACCTGCTGCTGGTTGTCTTCAGAGGTTTTTTTCCCATGAGACCTGCAGAAATGCTAGAATAGCTTTTCTCCTCAATATCAGTATTGGTCCAATTTTCATAGAGATTTTTGCTGTGGAAGTTATGCACTGAAGGGAAATTGTATCTGCTGTATTGCCAAGGTAAAATATCAAGGGTAGCAGAAAGGGACAGAGAGAACAGCCTTGATTCTCCCTTAATCAAATTTTCCCATGCTGCTAAGGCATTTTTGCTTTAACTCCTGACCTACAATTATAATTGGCTTCTATGATAACTTTATTTTCAACATAAACTTTTCAACACTGACACTGATTGCAATTACGAAGGCTAACAAAGCCTTTTTTAAACGACTGAGATAGGTTTATGGAATCAAACTATTTGAATGCTGTTGTTTTGGAGTTTGGGAAAAGACAGAAGCCTTTGGGAAATTTTTATGCACTTCTTTTTAAAGTTGTACTTTTGAAAGAAGCTGTAATGATGGGGTAGGAGACAAAAAACTTACTTTTATTCAGAACGCATATACAACAAGACATATTTGTGGTATGGAAGCTCTTAGACTCTGGTCACCTGAGGTTTCGTTAAGCTGATGGAGGAATTGGGGCAGGGAAGAAGGATAGAGGAGACTGTACAGTAGAGTGTTTTCTTCTGGTTGCAGTTTCTAGTGACCAAATGTTTATTCTGGGACACACTATGTCATCCAGGGGGCTGAGGCACATCCGTGTCAGAGTGGTCCATTCTGACGTGTAGTCTCCAAACCTCCTTCACAACTCCCTAAGCTTTCCATATATATTTTTAGCAGGATTTGTTGGTTGGTTTTAAAAACCCTACTATCTTTGCATGGTACACCCTTTGCAAAGGTATCACCGGAGGTATGCTCTACAGTGTTCAGACTACTGTTGACTGTAATTTAAGGTATATATGCTTAAACTACCCGAAATTATTACCTAAATTAGGTTCTGCTAACACATCACTTCATAAAGTCCTGATGACTTCAATAATTTAGTCTGGATGAGTAGCAAGGCACAGAGAAGGGTTTGTGATTCTCGAAATTGCATTTCTTAAATGTTTTTTTCTAAATTCCAAAGTTCTTGTGCTGTGAGACATGCTGCAATTTGTATGGGGTTTGCAATTAATTTCTTAATAGTGAAGATGAACTTCCCCTAAGGAAGTTCTTTACAGGAGATATTACCCATTCCTCACAGGGCTCTGGGTGACTGCAACTGGGAGGCAGCTGTGTTATTCCAGCAGCTTCATGCTATCTGTTTTCTCCTTCTGCACCAAACTGGCAATGGGCGTGCTTCTCAGCAAAGTGTAAATACTCAACTCATCTGATATGCACCACTTCAGCTTTTTCTCTGTATTTCTGGGTGGAGTGTGCTTTGCTATGACTGAAGGAAGAAAAAGGAAGAAGCTAATCACACTCAAGCTGTGCTTTCCTGCCTGTACGTAAACATTAAGAATCTTCCAAGCGTCTCAGGTTCCAGTTTGTGATGCTCAGGGCTTTCACATTCTCCCTGGTAACTTCATAAAAGCAAGAAATGGAGCTGTTTGTTCAGGATCCTGTTGAAATTCATAGCCCTGTCATCCAAACAAAGCAATAGGCTGTTCTAGAGGGAAGTGGTGTCCTTGAAGCCATCTGGCATTCACAAGGATTTGCAGTGAAATTTTGTAGTAAGGAAGAGATGCTGAAGAAAATTGCTGGGCTCCATCTGTAGTTACTGGGAAGCAAAAGTCATATTTCTTCCAAGAACAACCAAGCTGGACTTTGGAGAATGGTCTCACAAAGACAGCTCTAGAGGGAACTTGGGAGGACTGAGTGATGCATTTGGCTTTTAGGTGTCAAAAGTAAATGGTGTGAATTTCTTCCACCTCCATCCTGAGCTGGGTGTTTTGTAAAAAACTTTATGGAGGCAAATTTTAGCTTTGAAACTTTAGTGGAATGCAATTATGCCAGTAATGAGTGGTTTGTTTGCAGCCTCCTGTTTTGCAACTTAATAAAAGCATGCAGGAAACACCTTTACTGCGCAAGAAATTAGCAGAAAGGGAATGTGGTTCTGGGCCTGGCTAAACAAATCACTACTTGGTGTTTATCCCTTCTTTCAAGGGTTTTTAAATATAGAGTATTGCCTGAAGTGGGGACTATGTGGGCTAGTTTTCCCGGCCTGAGTGCCTAACCTAGCCTTTCTCCAAAGCATGAGAAACTGCACTAGCTCTAATGGGACAGGATGAGTGTTATCTTTTTTTCTTATTTTCTTTCCCTTCACCTTGTAACTGTAGGTATGCAAGCTTCAGTTAGGAAGTTTCAATTCCCTCCCATATCCCTCTGGAATGTCTGGACTGCTGGACTATTGAATATACATGCTGACACCCACTTCTGCTATGTTTATACCAGCAGATGATTTTTTAAAAATTAAACAGACAGTTGATAACAGCAGGTAAATTCCAGGAGCTGAGAACAGACACCATCTTATCCTGCCCACTGCTGTACCACAATGACTAGGGATCACTGTACACGCTGCCAGCTCACCCTTGGCCGAGAGGGGCACTGTGGTTCTTTTATCCCAAGCTCCAAAGTTTCTCTGCATTGAAGGCAAGAGCTAAAATATTTATGCTTTCCTTGTAGTGCTGCTTAATTCCAAAATTTGAGAATATTTGTCAGGTACTTTGAGGTCTACAGAGGTAAAATTCAGTAGAAATGCCCAGGCTAGGTCTTATCTGTTCTAAGTTTTTGTCAAGCTATACATGAGGGATGGGGAATAGCTGCAGAGATTAAAGTAAGAGCCTCTGTTCACTTGAGCTGCATGGCATCAATTCTCTCCTGCTAGGCAACATTGTATGGTAAAAAGCCATACCTGGCCAGAGGCATTCATGTTGGTAGAAAGTAAAACTTTAAATAAAACTTATGTGAGGAGTGAGTGAATTGTTTATCATCTTTCTTAAGTGTACTCTTAAATACCACTCTGCTAACACTTTCCCTTCTTTTTATTAAGAGAGTCACTCTTTTGGAGCACAATGCTATGTTTCAGTCTAAGTAGTGCTATATTGATAACAGACTTCTGTACACTAACAGGACAAGAAAAATGGTGGATGTTTGGATAAGGCTAATTAATAACTCCTAGAAAGACAATAACTCACTCGAAGTGAGGCATATCTACAGCTGGCACCTTGACTGTAAGGGAAAATGTACCCATAAAAGCAGTAACGGTAATCCTAACAGTAGGAGGGGGAAATCATAACCACTGCAGGAGGCCAGGTCCAGAGGGAGTGAAAAAAGACAGTGCTTGGCTGGATCCTGCAGCTCAGGACTCTGGGGGCTTGTAGTGGTTTGAACCAGGTTTCCCCCTGAAGCTGAAAGTGGTAACCCCCGGGGGGTGGTGACCCTTGGGGCTTGACCCAATCAATGCTCCTGCAAAATATAAACATATCTCTGGAGACCGGAAGAGAAGCAGTAGTACTTGTGAGAAGAAGAGGTGGCCATGTTGTGGTGAGCCACGAGGAGCTGGGGCTCCGGCCCCTTAGGGGGCTTTGCCCCCCCCCAGCCCCCGGTTGGGGGGCTGCAGGGACTCGGAACAGTGTCAGACTGGGCTGAGTGCCTGCGGCTAGGAGCTGGGGGAGTTTCTCCCCTGTAAATAGAAGTGAGAGACACTGGGAGCAGCGACGGAGCAGCAGCAGAACAGCAGTGTCTGAAGAGCAGTGGCAAAGAGCCAACTGATAAGAACCAAGAGAAGCAACAGATGCCGGTATGCAACTGAAGCAGACACAGAGTTGTCTGAAGAACGAAAAGAGCCAGCAGCAGAAAGCAAGACAAGAGACCCGAGCTAGCAGCAGGAAGAGAGTTTCGGAGGGTAAGAACTGGACAAACCAAAACCCCCAAACTCGCCAGAGACCCCTCTGAGAAAGAGGAGGGGGTGGTGGACTGAGTGGAGTCCTAAAGTGCAGTATGCACTACAGAGAGGAGCTAAGAAGCTCCGGCCTCCTGAGAGCTCAGCCAGGATGGCCAAAGGAATGTGTGTGGAGGGGGTGACCTTGGGCTTTTCCCCCCCCCCCTCCTTGCTGCCAGGCTTCAGAGAAGCTGGCAGCCATCTTTGAGGCAGAGCATGGGAGCTCTGCACAGGGGCTTGATTTTCCCCTGAGGATACCAGACCGTCACGAAGACCCCGGTGCTTCGTGATATGACCATGGTGTAGCGGCCGTGTCTGGGGTTACGCAGCCCATGGAAAGACCCCCTGTTTGAAGACGGGGGCCGAGAGAGGCTTGGAAGACCTCCCTCGTGTGTGCTGGCAGAGAGCCAGCAACTACTACTGCTGCCTAGAAGAGAAGACACAGAAAGCCTACTGCCTAGAGAGAGAGAGAGACCTGCTGCTGACAGACTGGAAGGGGTCTTTTCTTCTTCTTCTCTCCTGGACTTTTATTTGGAGAGAGAAGAGATTGGGCCCATTGTAAATATTATTGTCATGGTAGAGATAGATATAAAGTTAAGATTGTATACAGTGTATTATAGTATTTATTTATGTGTATAGTCTTTGTAATATATTCCTTCCCCCATATTGAGTCTCGTGTTTTTGTCTGGAAAACCCATCTCACATGAGGTTGAGATGTGGGAGGGGGGCTAGGAATCAGAATTGGATTTTGGGCTTTTTCAAACCATGACAGGGCTGCATGTAGGTTTGCAGCTGCCCTTCAATGTCCTTTTATAACTTCCTTTTTGCTTAGGAAGGATCCAGTTAAGATATATTTTTCCTGCCTTCAACTCTATGCTACCTCACAGCTGCAGGATGTGGGCAAGAGCCTGGATGAAAAGTTGTGATATGGCAGGCTTGGCTCCCATGGTAGCCTGGTGCTTGGGGTTATAAGAAACCTCAGGCTGGCCTCGGGGTAAGACAGAAAAATGATGCAAAGACCTTTTCTGCTTCGCTCCATGGTCTTTGTATGGCACAGTTTCCCCAGATGGCAGGGTTGAGAATGGGGTTTGTTTCATCATGATTTTCACTCTCATTTCATTTGCCAAGTTTTCTCTAATTGCGTCCTTGCAAAAGACCTGCAGCAAAAAATCCAGGCATGCTTTCTCTGCATCCCCAGGCTGTGAGTTCATACTTTTATGCAGCTATCTTCTGGTACCACATGGTAGACAGGCAGGAATTACTGCTATGAAGGAGTCCCTCTTTGAACAGGAGTCTCTTTTAACTTGGCAAGGCTAAGCAAGGCACCGTATTGCTCCAACTGACTGGTTTGGAGTTTCTCGTGGTGTGAAACAAGGCAACTAAAGCATCTATTTTGCCTTTGGACTTCCCCCTGCAGCTCTCCTCCAGCTGAACTGACAGCACATTCAACGGAGAAGCTGCCGAAATGTTGGAATCCGTCAATGCTTCCAATGCATGTTGAAGTGCTTCTCCCTCAACTGCTCTTTCCCAGCGTGGAAAATGTCATTACATTGGGTTGTGTGAGGATCAGGTGTGGGAGTCAACACATGCAGAGTGTTAGCTCACAACACAAAACTGGTCCATAAAATCCTGCCATACTTTTGAACAGGGGGCACTGCCAGTGGCTGGGCAGTATGGTGGGGTTTGCTTGCATGGCTTGATCATTCCGAGGTGGAGGGGAGTGTGCAGTTGGAAGTGTGGGGCAAGGCAGTGATGTTCTAGACAACAACTTTCTCCAAACTGCTCTCACCATGGCACAGAGCTGGCACCATGCACCACAAAAACATCACTGAGGAATGTCCAGAGAACCCTGTCAGGCTATGCCCACTGGTGGGAGACCTCACTGTTAAAGGCTGCATGTGGGTTTTCAGCTCACACACAGTTTTTCCCAGGACTCTACAGAGGAGATTGGCTGCTGCTTTGATTTGCACACGTGTTTGAAATCTGCAGCTAGCAAATAGAAAACCAATTGGCTTTGTTTGCAGCTGATTGCAGAACATGCTCTCTCCACGCGTTTTACAGGGTAGGAAAAAAACTATTTTGAAGTGAGTATGGTGGGAACCAGGCTACCTCACACTAAGTTATCAAATCCAAGCAAGGACTTAAAGCAGAGCAGCTGCTTCTCCCTCCCTTTTATTTACTTCTGACTGTAAACCTTCTCCTGTCACATGTCCTAGGAGGCCAAGAAAGCAGGAGAAAACTTCCTAATATGTAGCTGCTGAGCATAAGCAATTTAAATGTATAGCTTCAAAAAGAAAGCTTTGTTTCAGGTTGCAACAGGGAAACCCACAGCCTCAGAGGCTGCAGAGCAGGGACAGGGTTGGAGGGGACCTGTCTGGTTCCTGCAGTGCTGCATTTCTGTCCTGATCCTGCAAAATTCCTGTGGGTGTTTGGGCAGACAGGTGGCTAGGCTAAGTGGCAAGGATCAGTTTTTGTGCATTAAGACCTTTTTGGCCATAGTACTGGTCAATGAGGGAAAGAGGCAGAAGACTTTGCAGGAGCCAGAGCAGAGTGCAGCTACCTGAAACAGAGATGTTGGCTCTAGGGCTAGAGCCATCATTTAGGTTGGCTAAAGAAGGCCAATGGCACCCTGACTTGTATCAGCATTAGTGTGGCCAGCAGGACCAGGGCAGCGATTGTCCCCCTGTACTCAGCTCTGGTGAGGCCACACCTCAAATCCTGTGTTCAGTTTTGGGCCCATCCCTACAAAAAAGACATTGAGGTGCTGGAGCTACTCCAGAGAAGGTCAATGGAGCTGGGGAAGGGTCTGGAGCACAAGTTTTATAAGGAGTGGATTAGGGAACTGAGGTCTTCTAGCCTGGAAGAAAGGAGGCTGAGTGGAGACCTTATCACTCTCTATAACTACCTGAAAGGAGGTCGAGGTCCTGATGAGGTAGGGGTTGGCCTCTTCTCCCAATGGACAATCAATAGGACAAGAGGGAATGGTCTCAAGCTGCACTAGGATGGGGTTAGATTGGATATTAGAAAAAATTTTTCAGGGAAGGGTTTGCCAAGCATTGGAATGGGCTGCCCAGGGAAGTGGTTGAGTCACCATCCCTGGAGGTATTTGAAAAACCCATAGGTGTGATGCTTAGGGATAGGGTTTAGTGATGGACTTTGCAGTGTTAGGTTAATAGTTGGCCTCTATGATCTTAGAGGCCTTTCCAACCCAAATGATCCTATGACTCTCCTTTAAAAGAGAAATACCCCAAACCTACATCCCTGTGGCATGCCAGCTGAGTGCCTGGGGCAGCAATGGGCACTAGCATCTCGCATGCTCCCTCATCCTGCCTGCTCCCACCCATCTCTTGGGGCTGGGTTTTTACCTGGCTGGGGTGGAAGCCATCGACTGGTTCAATCAGCTGCCAGGGCTCACCTCCCATCTTGCGCCACTCCTCAGCCGCTGCAAACAATGTGAGCAGAGGGGTTATCACAGTAAGCACGTAGACGCCCGTCTGGAGGTGTACCCCCCTCTTCTGCAAAGCACCACTGCTATTTTCAAGCACATGACAGCTCTGCATGAAAATTATGATAATTCACATGAAGTTGTCAGAGCCAATAGTGTGTGCAATCCCCTCTCCTTGGGGCGGTATTTAAGACTTTATTGTTAATTTTTTTCTCTGCGATCTTTATGCAAGAAAGCACTTTGAACATAAATGATCATAAAACAATTCACTTTCCCTCTCAACTAAGAGGGATGCTGCACCAAGTAAAGCTGTAAATTATTTAATACTGATTTAATACTTTTGCATTTCCCATGTTAGTTGCATCCTCAATAGTGCAAAAAAAAAAGGATAAAGAAAACAGTGGTTTTAGAGAAAAAGATGGCAACAATATTCACATGGGCTGAAGTCTGCAGAAATGACTGTCATTTTTTGTTACTTCTCTTCTGAGCAGTCTTTTTCTCAACTCCAACAAAATAACCTTTTGAATTACATAAGCGTGACATTCAATGCAAATGATGCTGTGCTATAAGCCCCGGAGCCATTAGAGAAGTAAAAAGCTTTCTCTCTTCAAAAGGGCTGTGGAGTGATCAAACATGGGACTAGTGGATATGGCATTAACAGACTGTAAATTCAATAATTCCTTTTATAATGACAGATTAAGAATTCTTAATAGCATTATGCAAGCATCCTGTCAGGAGGAAAATGTTCTCCATTCAAGCACCACAGTTTTGATCTAGATTAACCACTGTATTTTGGACCCTGGCTATTGTGTCAAAAAGCAGTGTCTGGGTCCCCACGCTAACTTCGAATTCACAAAAAGGCAACATTCCTGCTTTGACTATAGAAACCCACTTGAGATGCTTCAGTCAGCTCCCAAAGTAACCTGCTTCAAGACACAGGGTTTGGAGCTTTATTTCAAACTTGCATTATGTTGGGCACAATGCATATTCACCTTAGATTACACCACAGAACACTCATATAGATGAACAGAGTGAACTTGCCTAACTCCTCATATATACGATATTCTATGTGGAGTAAGAGGCTTGTGTAGTGTGTTTTACTTTGTAGAGGGACTACAGCTCCAATGCCAGAAATAGCGAAGGGATAAGTAAAGTTTTTATCAAGATAGGTCAATTCAGACTATTATACTTGACCTCCAAAACTCCTAGAGCAATTGAGCAAATAACCACCGAGTATGTCCAGAGTTTGTGTTAAAAATGACTATTGCCTTGGCTAGACTAGACTAGAGTTTGCTCCCATCTGCATCAAGAAAAAGTCCAAAAAAGCAACATATATCCCGCCATTTATTACACTGCTTCTTAAAGGAATGACTAATTTCCAAGGGCAACATGTGATCTTGAATGTCCATCTAAATCTAAGATAAATGCTAGTATACTCAAATATTACTTTGACAAAGCTGGGAGCTGCTATGTATATATATATGCCCAGGCCAGCCTGAAATCAATGTAGTCGTCAGTGTGTGCAACCACTGCTAAATATTTGATGTCTGGAGAGTTTCATGGAGGATTTGTGCTTGCTTCAGAAAGAGACCAAGAAAGTAGGTCAGCAGCCTTAGCTGGCTTTTGAGCACACTCATGATCTGACAGCTTTCCTGACGGCAATCTCGAATCGTTGGCTCCAGGGCTGCAGGAAACTTTGCAGAGTATCTTTCAAAGCTGATGTTTGTGTATGCATGTGTGATTTTGTTTACTTCATTTATTTAACACGATGTAATCAAGATCAGCAAATTATATTAAGATGTTTCTTTTTGTGAAAGCAAATAAATTACTTAAAGTTAGTAATTTAAGTTATTAAAGTAATTTGCCTACCCAGCAGGTAGTTCATTTCAAATCCTAATGACTTGTTAAATATTAAGTAGCTGAGGCAAAAGCTGCAAAGAGACTTGGACACTCTGAAACTCTGTGTTGCAATAATCAACTTGGCAGTGGAGCCCACCTCTCTGAGAAGAACTTTTGGACAGAAAGACTCCCTCTCCTATCCTCACTTCTTTACCTCCTCCTTCTCCATATGGTCTTCATGAGACCCAGAACCAGTTTCCTGAAGTGGGTCATGCAGGATAAAATAAGTTTTTGAATTTTGATAGGATTTGGCTGCAAAATGAGTTTTTAATAATCTTAGGTGCCTTGGCAGCTTCATGCTTTCGAGGACAGCCAGGCACTGATGGGGAGAGGTGTTAGAGATGTATACTTTAAAGTATTGACAGGGTGCTTCTGTCCCTTCATGGCTCCAGATTTAGCTGTCTGTGTGCTGGGATTTAAAATATAATACCCAGACTTAATTTTTCAATAAGGACCAACACAGAACTTTCTATGTGAATATAAAAAGAGGGAAATGCAGATCAAGTTTATTTTCCAATTATTGTATACTATTTTTGGAACATAAACATTCATGCTATTGGGGAGAGCCACCAGGTGGCCAGGGCTGGAGCTCCTGCCCTGTGAACAGAGGCTCAGGGACAGGGGACAGGGACGATCCCTTCTGGGAAAGAGCCTGTGAGGAGGCAGTAAGGACGAGGCTAGTCTTTTCACAGCAGTGCACAGTAGGAGAGGGAGAGACAATGGGCATAAGTTGAAACATGGGAGATTCAGGCTGAAAAAAGAAGCCTTTTCCCTACTTTCCCATCACTGTCTAACTACTTGAATATGTTGCCCAACTCAATCTGTCACCCCATGCTGATTCTTAAATTTAAAAAGAAGGAGTATGTTTCTCCTTGTGATGAAGCTGGGCTGATGCTGAGTGATGCCTCAAGCTGGACTCCTGTGCTTTTTGCAAGGAAAGCCAAGCTCAGAGGGATCCAGGGACAGATGTCTGCCCCAGTCCCACAGGGATACTCTGCTCATGCTCATGGTAACAACAAAAATATCCTGGTTTTTTTAACTCAAATGTCAGTTGCAGAAGAATGATTTAGGTAATATGCTTACCTAATGTCACTAAAGACCACAGAAGGACAAGTTTTGTAAGCTCTTCAAGTCAAAGTAGACGTTTAAAGAAATATAGGAAAGAAGCCAGTTATTCCTGGGAGAGGTGCTTCTACTTTTGAGAACAGTGAGTTAGGAGAGCGTGGTTGTATTACTCAGGCTGAAAAACGGATGATAAAAGTTCTCCTTCCTGAGGCACTGGTCATCCCAGAGGAAGCAATATGAAGCCTAGTCAGTGATATAGTAAACTACAGCTCATGAAGACCACCTTCACCATTGCGGGTATGAATCTCCAGCCTAGATGACCCACTATAGAAGCCATGATCAAAAATATAACCAAATCTTATGGACTAATATAGGTTCAAGATTTCTTTTTTCCTTCACCAGCCTGAAAAACTGCAGTGGACAAGCAGGAGGCATTTTTAGCAGAGGCATATCTGCTCTGCCTGTCCCCTTGCCACCCAAAAGAAAGTGGCCTGTGTGCTGTGCATCACTGGGGTTGTGGGTACTGGCAGCTGGGAGCAGCACGGAGGTTGTGGTGCCCAGGCTGGTGGTGGGGACTTGTCTCAGCAAAGGTCCATGGCTACTCTCCATTCAGGGAAGATGGGAGATAGCATTAAATGTCCCCCCTTGACCACAGCCCTGCCACCAGGGTCACCTAGGCTGGCTGGCTATTCTGCCCTTTTCCTGGTACAGAGCTAAAATATGAGGACCATATCAGCAGCCTAGCACTTGACTAAATGTTTTGTGAGAAAGACAGGAAAAAAAGCAACTTACTTTGTCTCAGTGGGAAATCCATGTAGAAAATATCGAAGTTGGCAAATTTCTCAGATCTCGCTATTTCTTTCAGGACGTTGGAAAGTTGTAACGCTCTCTGCAAAAAATCAAGTGATTTAATGACTATTCATTGCTATTCCTGCTGCTTTGCATGGATTCAGCTTTCATCACTGAAGAGCAGCCAGGAATTTGATAGCTAATATTGCCCTTTCAGCTGGGGGAAAGGAGGTGAAATGGGACTCTTTGTCATAACATGAACTTGCATGAACACCACCAGCCTTTGAGCTACCCAGTTCATTGTGCAACACATCCTTGCAGGTTACATTGAGGCCTCAGCTGATTTTGTAAGTTTAATACAGCATATGCTTATTTTGCTGGAGACCTCTTTTAGTAGTGTCCCTAGGCTTATATAAATATTCTGAACTTCTCAGTTTTGGAGCCTCTTGATGAGGCAGCCCAGTAATTTTCGTTTCTTTTAAAGGAACCCAAAACTTTTCTGCAACAGAAACGGTCTGTTTTCATATTGTCCTACCTGCTACTATGTTGTGGATGCTAATGCTTATCTATGCAGACCAAATTCCACCCATACTTTCAGCAGAGTAAATTACCTTCATTGAGCGTCTGCTTAACTGATACATCCAGTGTAATTTCTACAGCCATAACAGAGATCAGGATCTCCTAAATATTTAAATTGTGCAGTTTGGATAATAACATAGACAATTAGTTTCAGACAGGGGCTCAGAAAGATTAATTCATACCCTGCAGGCATCTGCATTGTTCATGGACAGAAGTTAAATGTACTCTATATTCTGTATTGTTGGTATGAATATATAAACTGTAAGCCTGCAAAGATTTAGGAATGTGTTTAATTGCCTTCTCTGAAGTCAAGAGGGACACAGCATAAAATGAAATACATATGTAAGCTTTGGTTACATGAAGGCAATATTTTGTTGTTTAGTGAATGCAAATATTAATACAACTATACACAGAGATGATACCTTTGATAACATTTGGTTACTGTCTCTTTTACATGACTTCAGGGGATTCCTGGAATTAAAAATCAGTTTGTACCATAACAGAATAAGTGGCTGGTATTGTCATTCACTTCTGCAGCCAGATTTTTAGGGTGAGTTTTAAGACATCTCTGTTCTGTCTGTTCCCATTCCTGCACTGAGCCTGGATGCTCCCTGGTCACACCATCTGACGATTAAGCCCACAGAAATGTGTCTGAGGAAGATTAGCACAAATCCCAAATGAAAAAAGGGTAAAACTCTTGCTCTCAGGACCCGGTCCCATTGGCAGCAAAATCTATGCAGCCAGCTTGTCATACCAACAGCTTCTTGATTCACAAGCCTTTTCTTCCTTATCAGATATGTTTTCTTCTTAAAGAACAGGAACCTGAACAGTTTTGTCTCGGGGAGATCATATCCCTTGAGAATAAATTTGGACAGCTGAAAGGTTATAACAGGAATATCTTTACAAATCCTTCACTTGAGCATGCTGCCTCCCAGAGCCTGAGAGGCATTTGAAAGGATGGGTGAAGATATTTCCTCATTTTCTTCTCATCGTTGGAAGAAAAAAGTGTGCTGAGGTAACTGGGCTTATATCCTCAGTGTATGTGCAAGAGGGCGGCCCCCATTGTTGAGACTTACCTCTGAGGTCAAATTCCTGAGGGTCTCATTGGGGGTCAGCCAGCCGCTGCAGGGGCTCACCTGGGCAGGCATAGGGAGAGGGGCTTTAGTAGTGGGCCAAGAGGAAAAGGGGACTAGTAAGCTACAGCCAGACACCTTACCTGGAGGCAGTCAAGGAAAGAATAAATTTGACTGTATGTGACATCCCTGTTCAGCTGCCCTGCAAAGCACAGAGAGGGAAAGTTCATGTGCCTGATGGCCAAATGTATCTTCATTTTTCAGGTCTGTGCATTCCCATGCATTACACGCCTGGGTGGGGAGAGGCACCCCAGGAGCACCACCCCACCTCCCACCCTCGGGTTACCCTCCCACCACCATAGCTGGGGTACAATAGAGGTGGCACCAATGCATTCCTCCTGCTAAGTGTCCATGTCTCCACAGAGTTGCTTTTGCTTCTCCTGCATCCCTCTCCCGCCTTTCGTAGATGATTTGTCTCGCATGTGGGGTTAGTCATCACAGCCTATGCCAATTTCTGAAGTGCACGACTGATATTTTTTCCATTAACATGTCTCTCACCCGCCATAGAAATGCAGGGTTTGCAAAGTAGAAGGATGCCTGTGTACATTCACATTTACCTTGCAGAGGTTAGCTTTAAAAGGGAGAAACAATTTTGCTGTCATTGAGGGAACTGGGTATGTTTGTGTGGGTGAGCAAATTCAAGCACCAAGTCAAACACCCAGCTGACATTCCCTAAAATTCACTGTGCTATGCAATAGCCTGGCTTGCTGAGAAAATTCTCCATTTCCTCAATCCTTTTGCTTCTTTGGTAGCTACAGCTAAGATGGGAATAAAATGGCCACTCAGTTGTCTGAGTTTGTAGCACACTGATCATTATGTCAGACTTTACAGTTCCTAAAACAACAATAAAAATTTCATATTTCAGTACTGCATAAATATCAAAGTATAATCTCTCCCAAGCGAACTGGGCTACTCAGGTTGCTTTACAGTGGCTCCCTGATACAGATGTGATTCATGCCTATCACACAGCTGCCCAGGGAACAAATGAGGAGAAGTTCAAAGATCTAGTGTCACTCCTGGATATTAGGAATGTCCCAGACCCCTATAGCCTGAAGCACCAGGCCCTGGGAAGGGCTGTCAGGGGGACTAGGGATTTGGCTGAAAGCCCAACCGGTGTCTGGTCACACCTGACTGACTGGCAGCCAAATGGGGAAACCTGCTCACAGTCCATCGGAGAATCTGCCAGAAGGGATCCTTTGCTGCAAAACATGTTGCTTAGGATTAATTGGGTCCCTTTAAGGCAAATTAGGCCCTCTGAAAGATTTCCAACTGGTTCTGCAGTTAATCACTCCTGATTTGGCTGGTGCCAAAAAATGCTATGTGTTGTCTCTGATAATTAGATATCCAGTAGAGGAACCATCCCTGTGATAAACATGCGCTCAAGGAGAGAACTGGGTTTATGTGACTAAAAAATAATTATCACAGATTTCCCTTGCCCTGAAAGGGGCAAGAGTTTCTCTTTTTTTTTTTTTTTTTCCCATTGGTAGTAGTATGGTACTTATTAGAGAAAAATATAACAAGGTATCATGAATAGAAATGGGAAAGATGTGGACCCACCAGCAATGATTGGGGAATCTTGGGGAAACCACAGCACGGATTCTGCTGACAGCTGTGGTTGCCAAAATCATCTGCATTTGTAATCTACCATTTTAATGATGTAATTTAGCTTCTCTCTTTCTTTGCTGATGAGAACAAAGAAGAAAACAACTTCTTGCTTGTTAGATGCAAAAGAGATTCCTTTACGCAAATACAAATAAGTACATGTTTTTGGTCTAAAATTTGGCAGTGGAATGGCATCTTGTACACACTCTTGACTGGAGACCAGGGGACTTGCTTCTTCTGTTGGCATAAAAACTTCCTTTGCTATCTGCATAAAGTATTTCACATTCTTTATGCACTGCGTGGTGCTATGAACTTGCAGAGAAGGCGTTCTGCAACCAGCTTCCAAGCTTCCCCACCCCCCAACATCCCACATTCCCAGGGAAATGTTTCCACACTGACCTCAGAGGCACAGCTATCAGACTAACCAAGGATGGACGTCACACTTCAGTGCAAATGAATGTAGCCCCCTGAGATGACATTTGTCCTTGCTGCTTGGCACAGGATGAAGCCAAGGAGCAAGTGGTCTGCCAATGGTCAGATGTGCAGCTTCATTCACACCCTGAGATCACAGGCTCCCAAAGGCAGCCTGCAAATCTCTGAAAAAAATGCCCCAAAGCTCTTTACAGCAACTACACTCTGAGGGAACGGCCCAAAACGTGCCTGCACATGGTGTGAGGTTTCAGCCATTACACCTGTAGGTAGTGTAGGAGGTGGTAGGCACCCAGGAGGAAAATTTATTTCTCTAATATATAACCAGTCTTTTGCAATCCCCTGACTTAATCTTCTGTCCTGGTCCACATCCAATTTTACCGTAACATCCACCAATCAGTGAATGGAGGTGTTAATTAAATGTCCAGCTCCACCTGTAATAACAATCAGGATTAAGTGCAGGCAGGCTGTCCGTGATTTTGGGCCAAGGCTGAGGCAGAACAGCTTGTTTCCACATCTACAGAATGTGTTGAGCCTGTTTTGGAGCTGAGTAGGTCTTGCTGGTGGGGGAACAGGGCAGGATAGGGATCTGTCCTGTTGTGCAGTAGGGATGGTAAGAACTGTCATTCCGACTTCTGCTGCACAGCCAATATCTGACTCATATTTCTCAGATCTTCACCACTCTGTCCGGTTTGCTTGAAATTCTCAATAGATCCATAAATTATTTAGAGAGCAAAGGCAACATGAGCAGACAGATAACCAGGAGGAACCCCACAACACCTCATATTTACCTAGAGGATGGTATCTGTCATGCAGGTTATCCCAGAGGAAGCGACCATCTACCAAGCCTGTTAAAATCATATGGCTGCCATTTGGAAGACGGGAGTCCAGGTATCGCAGAGCTTGCATCACGTTGGAGAGCATTTCTTTGGGTGTAGTCATGTGGGCTAGTGTGTCACGGTTCCTAAAGAAGAAGAAGCCAATAGGACATTGTGTCAGGCAATGCTGTGGCCCCAAAAAGGCACCTGAAACAGTGCCATTTCCTTTATTTGCTGCACTTCCACATTAAGTCAGATAAATAAAACCTTATAAAAATGATGCCATGTGTTCTGGTTTCTCATTGTTATTGCCAAAATCAGATGTGATATAGAAACCTCCCTCCCTTGGTGTAACCTGTCTCTCTAAAAACACAGATGCATTCCTTTTTTATAGAGTGGACTCCCTTTGTGGGTTAACCCCAGTGGGCAGCTAAGCACCACAAAGCTGCTCACTCACTTCACCCCCACTCCTCCCAGTGAGACAGGGGAAGGAGAAAGACAGAGTAAAACTAAGAAAACTTAGGGGTCAAAATAAAAAAACCAAAACAAACCAGTTATTGTTCAGAAAGTGAAGGAAAAATAGAAGGAGAGAAGAAGCAAGCAAAAGAAGGAATGCAAAGACAATCCCTCATCACCTCCCGGGTAGACCAACACCTGGCCAGTTGCTGAACAAAAGATGGCTAACCTCCCTAAAATAACCTCTTCTCCCTCTTCATTGCTGAGCATGATGTTACATGGCATGGACTATCCCTTCAGTCATTTTGGGTCATCATCCCAGTTGTGACCCCTCCCAGCCTCTTTTGCAGCCCCAATCTATTCACACAGGGGGCAGAATGAGGAACAGAGAGGGCCCCAATGCTGTGCAAACACTAGGCAGCAACAGCTAAAACAGTATTGTGTTATTAGCATTGATTTTGTCAAAAAATCTAAACCGCAGCACCATAGGAGCTGCAATGAAGAAAATTAACTCCATCATAGCCAGGCCCAGCACACTTTCATAAAGAAAAAAGGCTTAGATCACCTACTGGAATTATTGTTTGGAAATGAGTTAGTCTTTATTTACAATGCAGAGAGGTGAATCAGAGCCATGAAGCCGACTATGACCACATGTTTTGTGGCTCACTGTCAGGCATGAACCTCTTCAAGCCAGAGTCACAGGCTCAGGTTTATCCTTCCTCTCTTGCATTTAGCTGTAAATGCTGCAGGAGAAGTGCAGGGGAAATTAAATCCTGAAGTTGAAATATGTTTCAATTTATATAAGAAAAACAAGCAACCAAAACCACCCCAGGCTGCCTAGAGAACACTGCTCTAATTATGTTATTAAAACCCCCACTTTATTACAGAAAAAGCATTCACCCATTTTCTCTCTGAGAGCTATTGCCACATTCTCATGGCACACATGCCCGTAACAGGGGCTGAAAGCAAGGGGGTGATCACAGCCATAGGAAGGCTGTCCCATCCCAGCAAGAGAGGATCCATGGGTCTCTGGTATGAGGAGGGTCCCCAGCTCCGTGACATCTCATTCTGGCAACACCTGGGAGGCAGAGCAGGGCCCACTCTGGGTAAAGGTCTCTCTTTGCCTGGAGACGTGCCATTGGCCTGTCTCAGAGTGAAGAGTCAGTGGGATGGAAATAAGGACACCATTGTTTGTTTCCACAAACCCCGGGAAGTCCAGGTTGGCCACGGCTCCCTTGGGGCACACAAAGCAGAGCATGGAAATCCATAAGTTGCTTTTTTTTGAATTGGAAAAGGCAATAAAGACATGTTTGCAACACAAGCTTTTAGAAGAGCCCCCAGACATAGCAGCAAGGGTACCATAGTTGGGATTTGGAGCACATCAACATCCGTGACCATGCATGGCGTGGACCAAGCACCTTGGGAAGCAGTCTCTCGTGATAGTTTGCATTCTATGTCGGTGCTGTGGCTCAGCTGACCAAGGCATTCAGGGAGAAAACCTCGACACCTGCTGGGGACCTGATTGTGTTGCTCAGGAAGAAAGACAGGGGATGTCCTTCCAAGCAGGGAGATTGCACTAATGTTCACCTTCATTGTTTTAGTGGTTCCCACATTTTCTCCTTGTAGAGTAGAAGGGAAGCAATCACCTTAGCAGCCAGGAGGCTCCATCCAGATCCTTTCCATGGGAAAGACCTTAAATCTCTTACATGGCTTCCCACGGGTAAGAGAAGGGCAAACCTGGTGCGTGCAGTGCCAGGCAAACTGCTGAGGAATAGGGTCAGATTCCTTGTCAGTGAACACCATAGAAGTAGGAGCTTTCCAAAGCATTGTTGTTCTGTCTCAAGGCATTAGAAATGTTTGAGCTCAGATGGGGGGAAAGGGTGCTGAGTCCCATGTGGCACAACCATGTTCCCTAACAAGGATTTGGGATTCTTCAGTGAGCTGCATTTTGCACACAAAATAATAATTGGGTGAGTTTCCTGGATGCAGAAATTTATCTTAATGCAGCATGTGCTGCTGAAGCATTTGAGACTTTCTGATTAGGGAGAACTGAGATTAGGGAGAACATTAAGATTCAGGTTTATCCTTGTGACAGCCACCCAAGCAAGCTACTTCTGAGATAAGACTCTGGTTTTGCCCTGAAATTACTTCATTTCGCCTACAGGTGTTGCAGCACTTGATTTCAAAATACTGCTCTGATGCAAGGCCTCTACCGCAAGTAAACATGTCAGTGTAAGCCAAAATTAATATGACATTCATAATTCCGCTTTCCCTTGTCATACTCTGTTGAAGTCATGCGGATATTTCAGTGCATTTCTTCACATTTCCTTTCTATGCCAGGTTATGAAATTAAAACCGAACATGAAGAAAGCCATTTTATAGGCATATTAGATTTGGGCTCTGCCAGAAGGACTTCAAGGTGCCTGGGTGAGCCTGTTGTGGTACCATCACCTCATTCTCCTGCAGGTCAGCAGCTCATGAGAGCCTCTGCCCACCCGGGACCTTTGGAAGCTGATGTTGCCCCCAGTTCATTGTGTCAGAGCATAGGAAGCAGACATTAATGTTAGGATTCCTGCTGCATTGGATCTGGGACCCCCACAATACACAAGTACACAGTAAAATTGTTGGTGTGCACAGAGCTCCTGGATATCCTAACATCGTTGATACTCTAGCTGTGCACACGTATAGAACAGACAGCCTCATGCAATCTGTGCTAGGCTTTTCCAGCTCTCCTCTGTCATAGGGACCTTCTCCAGTCCCTTATAACAGTGTCTAGCATAGTCCACACACAGCTCTCCACCCTCCTTCTGCAGTGTTTGTGAGCCTGGCCTGCCACATCCTACAGGGCAGCAACTCCCCCTCCCCCTAATCCCAACCCAAATAAATACTTCCCCAGCAAATGTTCCAGCCATCCATCTGCTTTCCAGCCACATGCTGTTACAGGCCCAGGGTTTGGGCCACGGGCACACAGGGCCAGCTGGGGTGTGACATGCCACACACACACTCTCACACATGGCACATGCACGTACGTGCAGAGCTGGATCCACAGCGCAGCGGTTCAATTCCAGCTCGCTGCAGAGGGGTGGGATGCCCACAGCATGAGGGCTAGAGGTGTTGCCTGCTTACTTACTACTTTTAGGGCCAGAGGGGTGCAGCAGCTCTTTGGTGCTGATAGTCTTACAACAAGGGAGCATTATGCTCTTGCTGGCACCTGTGCCACTTTATACAAATTCCTTTCCCAGTGGGTCCCTGCTCACCCTGCTTTGCTGCTGTCACCTTTCTGTTTGTTGCAGATGCAATAACTGTAGATCTGTGACAAAGAGGTTGGAGAAATGGGGCCTCACGCCAAATGTAACTAATATGTGCATCAACTGCACAACATTTGAGACTTCTGGTGGTTATTATTTTCTTGTCTGATTTTTTTTGTCCAAGGTCTCTGTGTCCCACATTTAAACCTCAGTGGGCTGAGAGATACCATTGCCATCTGTCTTTATTTTTCTATCCCCCCTGTTTGGACACCGCAGTGTGGAGACTACTGGGAATGTGTAACACAGGCTGCCAATTTCATTAGCTTTTCCCTCTACAAACATCCATATTATTCATTGCCCCACTCTTTGCACAAGGTGAAATACTCGCATTTTAACAACACTTTGGCTAAGAGCTGTGTCTCTGGTATGCTCAGCACACTGCTCTCTTCTGAAGGCAAGACACAGGATAAGGCCAAGAAGGTTCCATTGTTGCAGTTTAAAGCTGTCCTTGAGGAAATTTCTATTTGTCAAGCTCTAGGTTTGAAGTCAAGCCCATCAGATGCTCTGCACCCTCTGTAACCTCTGTAGGTACATCAGGGCCAGGGCAGCTACACATAGTGACTGGACACTGAAATCTCTGTCCACTGTACATCCCAATGGGAAGCTGTAGAATCTTTCCTTGCTGGAGCCACAGGGGTCACTAAAGCCTGATAGCCTCTTTTGATGTTGTGAATGTTTTGGAAGTAAACAGACAAAAAACAGTAGAGAGAATTTGAGCAGACAAAAGTGTCTCTGCCAGGTAATGGATGCTGGAATAAAAAGACAGCAGAATTTCAAGAAAGTAATAAATACTGTTCTGGAAGGTTTTGGAATATACCAAATGGGTGAGGCAAGGTCAAAACAGTTTAAACTTCTGGAAAATTTCTTTTTATTTCAGGCAAGAGTAGAAAGCAGTGTTAGAGACATGGTAAGCGAAAGACATGGCAACCTGCAGAATGAAGAATAAAACAAAGGAAAAAGAGGAGCTTTAGCAAAGGCAGTGACACAGCAAAATTGAAATATGTGCACAAAAGAGCCTAGGCCAAACCTGGGAGAAGACACCTTGAAAATATCCATGGCAGGAGCCATGGACTTCAGCAAAGGTGCCTTTTTTTTTTTTTTGAAACATGGGTGGGGTGGGGCAGGGAGGAGAGGGGGCTTTATCACCCTGGTGGTGGATATAATGATACCTCCATAAGCTTCTCAGTAAACAGATCCCCAGAACAGTCTCGTCAGAAAGTAGTAAGAGGCCTGCGACTGGTTTTCCCACTAAGTCAGGGAGTGATGGCATTGCTTTTGAGGATTTGTGTGTCCTTCCACTGACAGAAGTGTGGTGCTGAGGACAAATTTGGCATTTCTGGGCAAGGGTGCAGAGAGAGCATGAGCAGCAGACGGCAAAGATTTCATGGGAGGTTATTTCCGTGTGCTGCCTGGATGTGGCTAGGGCAATGGTGATGTCAGGAAAGGACCTAAAAGGTGGCCCCTGCGGTACCACTTCTGCCCTGGCTGAGGGCATCCAGGTGCTGCAGTGTCAGGGAAGGTCCTGCCTGGCCTTTGGACATCCTCATCTGAAGAACAACACCTGACAAGCGAAATTTCAACCCATGAACTGCCTGTTAAGAGGAATTGTAGGATACCAAGCCTTGCCATTTTACTGGCCAAGTTTGAATAGCTCCAACTTCATTATACAACGTGCAGGTGAGAGTTTTCAATAGCTTTAGAAGGAAACTCAGTTCAGTGTGTGGCATTTATTAAAACGAGTGTTTTGAAAGTCTCCATGTAAACCAGATTTATTTTTTCAACATACAAGAAAAGTTGAAAATTGATCACGGTGAAAATAATGTTGCACTAGCAACAGCACTCAGACCTTCTTCAAAACCAAAACTGCGGTATGGATGTCCTGTGCATTTGCCTGGTTGCAAGGTGTTTTCCGCCCTTCCATACCTGGAGGAAGGGAAGCATCCAACTAGTGACCTCTTGGTGTCCCCGTGACATTATCCATTCTGGGTAATGTCAGAACTATTAGTTTTGAAAGCTTCAGTTCATTCTCCTGCAGAACTTATGATATGAGTAAAGCCAGAAAGACAAAACATCTCATCAGGAAAGCACAGCAAAGACTGCAGGTAGTGTGCAGCAGAGGCAGGGTAAAATGGACCTAGACAGGGGACTATGTTGTGATTCTTCAGAAATGATAAATCAGTCACGCTCTCCCTCCTGACAGGAGTTGACACACTGGATAAGACAGATATACACGCTTTTAAACTCTTCTCCCCCCTCTCCTGTTGTTATTATTAATTTCCTCTGCTAAGTTATAAATGATTACATCAGACATGCCATGGGTCACTTTATGACTGGCTACAAAAGAAGGAAATGAAAGACAAGGTCCGAATGGGGACTGGCAGGTGCTTGTGACAAATACAGGTATGGTAACAACCAGCATTTTCAGCAGAAAATTAAGAAAAACAATAGACCAAAAGCAAAGAAAAATGCCATCATGGAGAAGCACAAAGCAATGAGACACAAATGTCCAAGCAGTTAGCAGTACTGTAAAGAAGTCAAATTTATGCTACCATAAAAGTTCATTTAGTTTACACCTTACCCATTGCAGACATCATTCCCAATTGTAGCATAGATAACTATGGCTGGATTGTCCAACAGCTGGTTTCTGGCCAAGCTAAAAGATAAATATGCATCTATATTAATGTAGAAATACACTCTCAGTGTCTGAATCACACACCGTGCTTGTGTGAGATCACATTTGGAAGTAGCCTGGTTGAATACGGCCAGTGTTGAAATGACTGTGCTCCTATGTTTGGGAGAGGGTTTTCTTTTTTTGGGTGGTTGGTTTTTCATTTCACTATAGTTTTATCTTTGTTTGTGAAGCCTAGCCATGAAAAAAAATAGTTTTATATTTTAGTAAAGTGTCTTAAACACATCTTTTTTCATCTCTCTTTTGCTCCTAGTGGACTTGTCTTTTTCACTGCTTTTCCTGCAGGCTTTCCATTTTCTTTGTATTAATCAGAGGCCAAATCAAGTAGTTTCATTGTGGGGCAAAGACATGAACCAAAATGGGTTTTTTTTAAATTAGAGATGGGAGAGGAAGACAATGTTTGGCTGACAACTAAGTCTATGTGCAGAATTGAACTCAAGATCAAATCAGGACGTGGTTTGAAGCTCAGTGCTAGAGGGCAAGGATTCTTGACTACTCTTTTTCCGGAGGAGAGAACAAAAAAACCCTTGGCATGTGAACTAAAGTAAACTAAACCTGACTGACCCATAGCCCACCTAAATTCATCTGAAAAAGAGAGTTGCTGCCTCTCACTATCCAGTATATACACAGTTATATCCTTATGGAGAGAACAGTGGACCTACCTATATCTGTCTACATTGCTACACACAGTTAAGGGGACACAAAGCATAGATGTATGGAAAGGTTTAGTCTCTTCCCTAAGATCATTGGGAATGCCCCACTGGTTTTACTGAGCCAAGTTCAAGGCCCTGGAGATGGTGACATCCACACTTTAAAACAGTTTTTCTTCTTTTGATTAATGTTTATAACAGAGAAGAAACAGCCAGCACTTCAGAGCACAGGGGTCAAGGGAAGCTGTGCTTCTTAGAACATTATTGTGGATAATATATTCCTTACAGTGCCTGTGCTTTTTAGAGCACTTGTGGATAGTATATTTCTTACAGGGCTTTGCTTGTTTCTTTCAGAGAAGCAGAACTCTATCAATGCTTCTGTACCCTGAGTTAGCACTTGAATCCCATTAAACACTCACCTTTTTATTAAATAGAGGAGGTTTCCAGAAGAACCACCTGATCACACACAGTGGGAATAAGAGAATTAGTACAACATTGTTATAGGGACAAAAAAAAACCAAAAAAACCAACCAAAACCCAAAATGCAAAACCCAGGTTAATTGCATATTTCCAAGAATGTAGAAGCACTAAAAATAAAAATGGAACAAGAAATCATCTCTGTAATACTTCTAGGTGCTGGCATTAAGAAGTAAAGCTAAATCCAGGGACTTGCTGCCTCTTACCTGAGTCCCACACTTCTGGCTGCATTAAATCAAATACTTTTAAGTGCAGGGTTGTTTTGATCTGGCTTTTAATCCAGATCTGGCAGCTTCTTCCCATCTGTTGAACATAGTAGTCTCTTGTAAACCAGCCAACCTGACTTGTCAACAGTTGTTCTACTTTTAACTTTCCCTATAAATTGCAAAGGGAACTGTTCTCACTCTTCTGAGAGTATGCGTCTCACAGCTATACCACATTGGGACTGATTCAGGTCCTAAACATAGACACCAAATGCCATTTTTGACATCCCAGACTATCCAAGACACCTGCAGCAGGGCTGGAGATACATCACAGGATGCATGAGAGGTTGTGCACTTCTGGAAAGGCAGCTGAAGATGGGAAAGATACCGTAAAGCACCTTAAATAGCTGTAGACACCAACATTTGGGTTTCTGCATTGCTCTCTCCACAAGTGTCAGACTTACAAAAAGTAGTATTAGACCAGCTGCACTCCTCCCAAGAAGCCGTGCATTTCAATGGATTGGATGCAAATCTCTCCTACTTGAGGAAAAGAGCTGGCTACACTAAGCATCTGTGAGCATCTGTAATCTTTCATTTATATTTTGAACGAGAAAGGCATTCCCATTTAGTAAAGTTTTTATGCATTAAACTTACTATCAGGTCTTTAAAGGCTGTGCATATACACCCCCAGCACACAAATCAAACTCCATCACGTGCAGTATAAGAGTGTTAGCAAACAAGGAGCCAAAAAAGACTAGGCTTTGTTCAAGATGAGACTAAGGCTGTGATTGCAAGAAGCTCACTGCACAGCAGTGCAGAGAAACATACACTTCAGAGAAGCGGGCCCTACAGGTAGTACTTGCTTTTATTTTGTAGTATTATCACTCTCTCCTCTTTTCTCACTCGTTCTCCTCTGGTATTACACTCCCTCTATTCTCAGCTCAGCTCTTCCCTGGTCTTTTCTTTTTTCTGCATTGTGCTTCTGAAGCTTGCTTTGAGCAGCAAATCCTGTCCTCCCCGCAGCTCTTGGGAGGAAGCTTGTGGACAGAACATCATTAAATCCCTGCTGGATTGGTATGGGGGAAAGATCTAAGAGATAAACCCCTAAGGTAGCAATAATACACTTTGCATTTTAATAGTGGTGCCTTTGTTATTATCACTCACAGTGATGCCAACCATATATATCAAGGAATCCTTTATGTTTTAAATAATCCAGTTCTTCCAAGCTAAAAATTAATATATCTGTCTGCTGCTTCTTCCCTGAGGGTTGCTGATTCAAAAATCCAGCCCGTCTGTTGAGAAGTTCTTTTCAGCAGGATAAGAGCCCCACAAAATCCTTAGAAAATATGGCTCAGAACATAACTACCAGCAGTTTATTTTTTTCTGTTTAATAGCCCTTCTTTCAGCTAGAGTTGAATACCCCCTCTTAAAGCCATTCTGTCACATGGCTCCCTGGACTGAGGCTGCAGTTCTAGCACAAATAAACTAGTGGGACCTCTAGAAATTAAAAGTGTATTTACAAAAAAACCCCAATAAGCTGGTTTTGGATATATATTAACTCCACAAGCATAGGTAGTTATAAGCAGCTCTGTGGAAAGCACTAACGCAGTTACAAATCAAAACATCAAGAAAATGAAAGGGTTTTTAGAAAACAGTTTTCATGGGTAAATTGGGTCTTCAAGGAAGCTTTTGTGATATAGGATGCAATCTGTGACAAAAACATTCAAGATACAAAAAGAGATGAGGCAGAACAGTTACTCTTGCGCTTTTGAATGTCCTGGAAGCTCTCCCTGTATCTCTCCTGCCTTCGTTTTTGTTTCTTTCCAAATATTTTCACACCAGTGGGATTTTTTAGTTTTGGTTGAGGAATCAAGGTTGGGTTGCCTTCTGCTTGCGAGCAACTCTGAATTTCATAAACCTTGGAATACTTGAGCTGCACTTCTATATTTTCTTGCACTTAAACCTTGCATGGCTGACAAGGAGCAGCACTAAAGTGCACTAAAAGAGCCTGGGTCTGAATTTAACCAAAAGTGCTGTGTGGACAAAAAGGCTTATTGACTTCTAATCTTTTGCTCCCTTATGTTGTAAAAGCAATGGAAAATAAAATGGTGCAAAGAAAAAAGTATCTGGTTTTCCCCAAATGAACTTCAGGTGGACTAGAATTTCCAGGACAGATGAAGAAAAAAAAAAAAGAGTTATTATTCCTTAGCTGGTTTTGAAGCCAATGTGAGACAACTGGTGGTTGATGGCTCAGTGACCCATAGCACATGTTAAAAAGGACTAACTTTTCTGGCCAAAGGCAAGAATCCCAAAGAGACAGATGAAACTAAAAATGGCAAAGGAACATAAAATACCCATACTTTGAAATAGCCTACATTATCCAAGTATCTCATGCAAAACATGGATGACAATTGCAAGATTGTGCTGTAATTATTTAGAAAATCTGAGGGTACTCCCTTTTCCTGTGTTTATCTGACCAATTTCACTGTCAGGATGTTTCTACCAAAACAAGGGATCTTCAACAAGTGCTGGAGAACATTTAGAAGAATTTTCTGACTCCACACCTGAGCATTCATGCCAAGCCCTCACATCTGGAGATCCCACTCACCCAGTCAAAAACCAGAAATGGCACATGGCTTATCAACCTGTGTGAAGCTGCTGGAAGGAAACACAACAAAACTGTATCGAAAATAGTGAACCAATAAATTTATCTGCAGAACACTGTTCAGCAAGTCACTCTGACAGAAAACATTGATTAGGACACTAAGGTGCTGGTTGTGCAACCACAAGCTGTACTTCCACAGTAGCAGCAGAATAGAACAGATTTGTTACGAATTAGTAACTTACATTTCATATCCCACGCATTTTGTGGGATGCCTGGTGAGCAAAACTGGTCACCCAAAATGAATGTCAGCAATTCTGATATGAGTATATTCACAGGCCATGGGTAACATACTGAGCTGAGGGGCACCCTCCCTGGTCCTGTACCTCAGCCAGATGCAGAGGAGGGAAGGGTCCACCATCTCTAGAGGATAATGGGATTTCTTAAGAAAGGGAAGGCAGAACTCCCGCTATCACAGAGGCTGGGGAAGCATTTCTCCAGAGTGAAGATGCATGTCCTGAGAAGGTCAGTGGGGAAAGTCCCTCCATGCTGAGGTCTGACACAGTGCCATCCCTGGACTCTAGCTCTTGGCTGCACATCTTCCCCACCAGATCATCCTCTCTAGTGACTCATCCTCCCATTGCATACATGTGGGGCTGTGAAGCATCATTTTCAGAGGAAGGTTTAGTTGTCCCAGGTGAGGTTAGGTCAGGCTAGTGGCCAACTTTTTGCTTTATTGTCACTGAGAGTGGCTATTTAAATCCTCCCATTCAAGGAAACTATTAAGCCAAATGAGGCAATAAAAGTGAACCTTTACAGTGTAGTGTCAGTGTGATGATTTAGAGAAGACACCGAGGGGAGACATCCTGAGATTTTTCTCTCACTTGTAATTTTTTTTCCCTTCTTTAAATTCCCTTCTCAATTTTCTTCAGAGTCTTTTGCCCTGTCACAGGTTCACCTCTTTTTATATCCTGCAGGTGTCTGTAGTGTAAGTGGAAAGGAGATATGTGGAGAAAAAAATGAACGATGCACACAGTGAGAGAGAGATTATTTAAAAAAAAAATCTACAAGGGAATTGGGAAAAGGAGGTGCAGGAACTACCACCCCCATTAATGTAAAGAGAACAGAACAAGGTAATTAGGCTATCATGTACTCAGATGAACTGGATAGAAATGAGAAGAACCACTCACACCTAGTCATCCATGACCATCTAGTTTGGCCCTTTTTTTTAATTCTCTCAGAAAGCACACCTGGGGGACTGCAAGAGCCATCAACTTTAGTGCCCTTCCTCTTACAGTCAGAAACACCTGATTGATGACACCGAACACATTGTAAAATGCTTTCACAGAAGACTCAAATCTTCAGGAGCACCAAGTGTGCCACAGGAAGTAGGAAGGCATATGAGAGGCATTGCCAGTGCCATTGGTGCTGGCACCAGAAGGCAATTTTTAAGGTGAAAGTGCCCACCTGAGCCTGGAAGTGATTCTTGCATCATGCTACCTGTCTGTGCAACCTCTTCTGTCTGGTAAGATCAGGGAATCATCAGAGCTGGAAGCAACCTCTGGAGATCATCCAGTTCAAGCCTCCTGCCAAGGCAGGGTCACCTAAAGCAGGTTACACAGGAACTTGTCCAGGTCGGTTTTGAATGTCTCCAGAAAGGGAGACTCCATGACCTCCCTGGGCAACCTTTTGCAGCGCTCTGCCACCTTCAATGCAAAGAAATTCTTCCTCATGTTGAGGTGGGACTTCATGTGTTTTAGTTTATGGCTATTACTCCTTGTCCTGTCACTGGGCACCACCGAAAAGAGTCCGGCACCATCCTCTTCACACTTGCCTTTGAGATATTTATTTGTGTCTGTTTGTCGAAGGTAGGGGCTGAGGCAGACCCTTTCTGATCCTAAATCTTGCAGAAAAATTCCAAACATTTAACAAGTTTCTAAGTAGCCCTAGGGGCAGCAGTGCTCCTCACTTGCAGCCAACATGAATCATCTGTTGGAGAGGAAGAGCATCCCATAAAGCCAAATTATCTACCTGAGGAGAATAAATTTTCCCAAGCTTCTGCAGCCAGTTTTCTGAAGCATGAAAATTAATTAAATACGATGGAAACACTAAGGGATAATCACAGCATAATCAAGTGTCTTTTAAACCTGCTGTTGGGAACATCATCTAATCCAAGACACAAAAGCTAACATCATAAACCTCAGTTTCTAAGGAGGATTACCGTCACGTCTTCACACAACCTCTTTGACAAATTTAATTCAACTCTGTCTTGAAACAACTCAGGGTTTCTTGTTTGCCCTTATTCCTCTGTTTGGAGGGTTATTCTAGGTTTTTGCTCCTTGTTAGTAACCTTTTTTTAAAAAAATTTCCTCTCCAAACAGAGGTAGGATTAATGAAAAGCCATGTTCTTGTACCAGAACTATCCTTCAGTTTAAACCATTCTTCCCACTCTGTGGTGTTTATACCTCAACGGGATTCAAAACCATAACACCATTCAATTTTTGCTTTGCTGAAATGCCAGTGTGTCTTCAGAAGTCTCCATTGCCCTAATTCTCTCTAAAGCCCTTTTCTGTATCTATACCCACCCAAGTCAGTCCTCCCTAGACAAAAGAGGCTCAAATTCTGAGTTCTTATCAGTGGACTTATAATGAGGAAGGACTGTCTCTCTGTCTCTATAGAGAAAATGCCGTGCATGATGCATCTTGCAACCTCCTTAGTCTCTTTCCAGTTGATCCTGTACTCCTGATGGTTTCTTGGAATTTCCCTTTGGACCCCAGTGCCTCTGTTCCTCCACCACCTCTGGCTGATGAGCCACTAGTTTACAGACAAATCTCATCACTAGTTCTGTCATAGATATTTTGTACAATTGCATTTGCTGCAATTCCTGTCACTGCTGTTCCCAAGTTCATCTAAATTATTCCTGTGTAAGGATGTATCCTGCTCTAGGATGGTTAATACTTTGCAGTTTTGCATCGTTTACAGAAGCCATCAAACATGTACCCTGGTCTTTGCTCTAAGGTCACCACTCCAAATGTTAAGCTGCGTTAGCCTCAGGAGAGATGCACAGGGGACGTAGATTCTCTCTCAAACCCACTGCTCTTCCCTGCTGAGGTGTTTCTCTACTCACCTCTTATTTCTTGTAATAATCTTTCTCTTCTTTGCTGCACACTGAGGTACCATGCAAAACACTTTCCTCAGTTCTAGGTAGGTCAGGTCTTCTGCATATTTATATGCATATATATATATATGAAAGTTTTGTCATAGAAAGATGTTATGCCAGCCTCACAAAAATAATTAATTAAAGCATAATAGAGTTATTTCTTGTCTTTGTCCCACCAGTGCTTTATTTGTATCTTTGATTACTTATTTAAAATCTGTTTTAAGAGCACACTGAGATGAGCACCATTGACCTTCCCAGTTTTGCAGGAGGATTTCTGCTTGCTGGCCCCCAAGGGATGTTTTAGGATGTCATGGACACCCTTGCTATGAGACTGATGACTGTTTTATGCCCAGTCTGCCTGCTGGTGTGGCAGCCCTAGGAGTCCCCTGTGCTACTGTGGGGTGCAGTATAGGGCTCTCTCAGCATTCCCTGCAGGAGTATAGAGCAGAGGAGTGCAGGCAAGCGGGGACCATGCCACAGCCTCTGGAGTAGACGGAGAACAGCCCTTTTATTTCTGTCACTACTAGTGACATCTCTCTAAATCCCTCATTTTGGCCATGGTCAAAAAAAGGTCCATAGAGTTACAGTGGGGTACAGTGGTTTTAATCCAGTGGAAATTCTTAGCCTGTTGATAAAAAGGATCAAGCCATACCCCTCCCTTCTCAGAGCCGGAAGAAAAGGTGCTGGGTTAAATAAATTCTGTTCTCTATTTTTTCCATAAGAAATGCATGCAATTAGGAAGGGGTTTCTCTTTGTTTCTGAAAGATGGTCATTAATGCAGCATCAAGTATCAGCACAAGCAATGTTAAAAAAAAAACCCAACAAAAAGTGAAAAAAGTTAACATACCATTTTGGGAAATGTTTTGTAAGTCTCTGTGATTACAGCGATTTCTCTTGCGTAAACGTAGATACAGAGAGTCTGTCCAGCCTCTGAAATAAATTGAGAAAATGCAAACTGCTAAACTCATATGATACTGACGAAAATAAAGCTGATATTAAAAAAGAAATATGTTCTTGTCTCTGAACAACTCAGTACCCCAGTTATGTATATACTTCTATTTCATCATTTCTCTATTTTTGTGGGCATAAATCTTTTTCATCTTGAACAGGGTTGCCTAAAACAAAGCCAAGATATCTTCTCAGAAACTATAAATTGATGAAAAGTTTCTTTGACATTGTTCCCTCCAGGAACAATGCTTTTATCCTGGTCTTTCAGATAATGTATTTAAAAACCTTTTTGTTATACATCATTTATCAAAACAATCCTGTTGATTGTTCACAAATTGACTTTTCAATTGGTTGTTATGGAACAGTAAATAAAAGAGAAGAAATATTGGCAGGGAAATCATTTCCCAACAATATAAATCTTGGACAGATTAATCTGAAAGCAGGTTATGCTTGATTGTGATTAGTTCTCTTCTTTATTTTGCACTGTTGAGAAAAATCAAAAAGCGAGTGAAAAGAATAACAGCCCGAAGGTTGATAAGAAGACCAAGCTCCCAGTCACAAGTACCTGGTCATCTCTATCTGGGCTGCTGATTTTGTGTCTGAACTGAGAAACCAAAGGAATCAGATAAATATCACGGCTTAACAACAACAAACTTGGATGAAGACTAAGATACAGAAGGCAATAATAAGTTTTAAACCAGCAACAAGAAGTAACTACCTGCGTAGAAAAACCTCAGCCAGTCACCATGCAATGGGCCACACAAGAAATGCTCAACCTCTTTGGTTTTCAACACAGTGGGCAGGCAGAGGAAGAGGAGCAAACACACCTTCTCTTTCAGAGGATATTAGTTAAAAAGTGGTATCCCTGTTCGCTTATCAGGGGGTGGGAAAGATGGACACAGACCACACCAGTTTGTATCTCTGCTTGGGCAGTCTTGAAGTAACAGGTATCCTCCCACTGCACAGTGCCAGCCAGTCTCCACCACACTTATTGTGGTGTGGGATTTTGAGCTACTTCTCTTAAAGATACCTTGAAGTCCCAGACAGTTGTTTGATTTTTATTTCTTCCAGAAGTGAAAGAGATTAAAAACTGAACTCTGCACCAAGGCTTGTCACTGACAACTTCGGGGTCAGTTCTAATCTCTGATCATTTGTGAACTTCAGATTCTTTGGAGCCCAGACAAATGCTGTGTATTGAGTGGCTAGACATTGTAACAGATTTTTAAAGGTCAGTTTTGCTATGGCTCCAATAGAGGAGGCTGCATAGATGTTTCCCGTTGGCTTGTCAAGTAGTAAACCGTCTTAAAGCAGACACTGTGTGAATGTAGCTGAGGCAGGGAACCTGGATTTTTTACTGGGAGAAAAAAGGAAGCAAAAAGTGTATGGTGCAACAGATATTTTTCCTGGAAAAGAATATAATTCTGCCAACCTTTTAATTCTGTTGGTAGAGAGCCTCTTTAGGCTTGACTCATGCTTGGTTTGGCATTCAACTCTATTCCTGACCTATCTTACACAAATAAAATAAAAATTGTCTGAAATTCAGGTCCAGCCAGGTACTGTTGGTGATTGTACCGCACAGTTCTGGCAGGATTAAAAGGCCTCTTAATGCTGGCCAGACAGATGATTAATAAAATTATGATTTTTTTTTTAAATTTAACAGTTAAAACTGCAGGCATTTCAAGTGTTGTTTGGACTTTATTTTCCTTCCTTTTTGGCAGAGACTTCTTTTTTTTCCCGTCTATTCCTACATCCTTCCCCATCCACATGAGCCAAGCTAACACAGCAAATTAGGTCACAGACTCTTCCAAATTCTTCTTTTGCTATTTCCCTCTAAATGTGTTAAAAAACAAAGGATGGGGGGAGGAGAGAAAGATTTCCCCCTAAGGGGTTACCATTTATTCCACTGTTTCAGCAGCAGAAAGGAAACCTGAGGAAGAGGGAAAGATTAAAAAAAGAAAAAGGAAATGCTGATTTTTATTAGTTTCAGCAATGCTCCCCTTCTCTCTTCCCCAGAATTTTGTAAAGAACAAAATTTTCTCCTTCTAAATTTCAATTTGACCAGTTCTAAAACCTACCTCGAATTTCAGGAAGACCTGGTTATATACTTAAAATATTTTTTAAAAACCCCAAATCCAGCGTCAATCTTGATTTTAGAAAGAGCAGAAGCAGATCTGAATGGATTTTTTATCTTTCCTTTAAAGCACTGTCTTGTGGGGTTTTTTTTCCTTGCTGTGCTTTGATTGACCTTGAGACTTGCTGTGACTTGGCCACCCTCCCTGCTGGTTGTCTTACCCGATGGTGGAATTCAGAAATCCAGTGATCTCTGAGAACTGGGGCCAATCAAGCTCGTCACTGAAAGCCATTGGAAGATTAGCAAATGATTTCTGAAAGAGAAATTCTTAAATCAACACAGTTTCGTCCTCACAGACAAAAATCCTTTTAGCAAATTTGAACATTTCTTAGCCGGAGCATTAGCCAGACAGCTGCAATTGTAAATACAGCCAGTAGTGGTAATTAAGTATACATATACTTAAAAAGTTGACTCTTGTAAGGCAGACATATCAAGAGATGAAGGAAGGAAAAGCAGAAGAGATATCTGAATTGCAACTTCTGGCACCCTTTAATTCTGGAGAAGTCCAAAACTCCTCCCAATACGTACTGCAGGTGCAGATCACCAAGGCAGCAGTTGTTTGCTTCAGCATCCATCCTGTTCAAAGGTGGGTCAACCTTGGGCACAGGAAGAGATGACAGTGTGATGTCCCCAGAGCATATGGCAGAAGTATAATGTCAAATTCACTCAAAGCTCTCCTGTTCTCTCCAGCAGAATGAGCTGCGAGCATCCGATCCCCTAAAAACCTCTGCCTGGTCCTCACTGCAAATTTTAGAGATGGCACTAAAGCAACAGATTCAGAAATGCTCCTGAGCATGGCAGGGACCAGGGAGAAAAACACATCATGTGACATAACCTTCCTGGGAGATACATACATCCTTTACCCTCCTCTGCTTTTGCTGATATTAGTCCCTAACATTTTTAAAGTGACTGTCTCTGTGAAAGGCTCTCTACAGATGCAAGCCATGTTGCACATTCAAAACACAGCACCCTGTTCCTTTCCACTGTGATTTCTGAATGTCCCAAAAATCATGAAAGGTTAGAAAAACAGCCTTGATAAATTGTGCCACCTCAGAAGGACGAGAACATGGACTAAATTTCCAGCATCTGCTAGTCTGGGGTACACTTGCAAAGACAAAAGTATAAATCCAGTGTGCTCACACAAGAAAAACTGCTGATGAAAAAGCTAATAACCAAAAGAAGGTCAAAACATAATACCAGAGAACTTACAGGCTAGTTTAATCCATATAATTTATTAGCTTCTTTTTCTCTTCAAGTAACTGTGGGGTTTCCTTAAGACCTCACTGCTATAAACAACAAGCAGGTGGGTAATTCTTTATCCAGGAGGGTCAGATGTAACTGAGCAGCCACAGAAGAGCAAATCTTGTGGTCCCCACCAAGTTGTCATTCCTAGAAAATTATCATTTAGGTGAATGGGAGCTATACTTGGGTTGAGTATATATCTGTGGATTTTGAATGTAAGAGGATGGAGGGAGATGCAGGGAAAGAGGAAGAAAGGCGAATAAAGGGGGGTTGTGGGGGAAGAAATCCTGAAGCCAAGCTCTGAGCAGTCTAATGCACAGCAGATGCCAGTTTAAAGCATGTAACAGCAGATTTGACCTACTTACAGTATATCTGCATTAGTTACAAAGGTGAAAATGGGCATGTCTTAATTATCTTTCAGTTTGTTCTCTCTTTCTCTCTCCTTACATATATATGTGTCCTTGGGTGTACCCGTATATACATATATATAAAAATTATTAGTTTTTTTAGGGGTGGAGGGAACCTTCATATCTGCCTTCTTCAAATCTGTTAGTTTTGTGTGCAAACAACCACTTAATCCACGGGCACAGCTATGAGCAGAAGTGGAGGGATACAGTATGGCTTAGCCGTTTGCAATATTTCCCTCCTCATAGTTTTGCATTAAAGATGACAGAAATAGTCACTTAGCACAGAAAAACCCCTGCAGATATGATCTCTTATAAGTCAGAGCATATGAGAGATATATTATATCAGCATATAATATAAAAAGAGGTAAAAATTACTAAATATTTTTAAAACAAATCCTTCTATGACAAATTCTCTCATTATTTCCTGTTGGCACTCTAAAACAATATCTTCATTGGACAATTCGTAATAACTTTTAACTGTTTGGCTTTTTTTTCCCCTGCAAACTTGGTTCAAATATGAATTAGCCAGAACCTAATTGAGTTGCAAATTGGTTTGGAAAGGAACATTTGAGCTCAAAATTATAGTTGCATTTGAAAACTGTATATACATTTAGCATTGACACTTTTCCAACAAAGCACTTAAGGCCAGACTTTTGAAGATATTTCAGTTCCAAAGGGTGGAAATGAGTAGTTAATGGAAATTTCAGAAGAATGCTAGACCTTAAACTCTGCAGCGACATAGTTTGGAAAGCACAGTCTAACAGACTGTGTTTCTCTTAGTCTCAGATGCAAATGTGTCCTACTCTGGAGGTTAAACTATGTTGACCTTTAGCATAAAACTCTTTTGAGCACAGACTTGTCTAAATATCATTCTCTAGACTATTCTGGCTGAGAAACCTACTTCAGCCTACGTATCAGATTTTAGCAGAGAATCAGTAGAAAGTTATTCCAGCCTAGCTTCAAATGCCATATTTTAGCCTTGAATGCTCTAGATGGGTCTCATTTCAATGAATATTCTCATCTCCTAGATGTGTCCTGCCTTGAAATACGGGGCAGACAAAGCCATGGCTGATGCTAAATGCACGAATGCCAAACTGTGCTTAAACAGAAGAAGGTTCAGGGTTGCTATGGCAAGAGATTTTCAAAATCAGAGCACAAAAGGGCACTAGAAACTTCACCCTTATACAAGCCTGTAGAAATATCAGTCCTGGAAATCCTGAAATCTTTGAAACATCCCTTAATGTTGTTCAAGTCCTTGTGATAGTGTTAAGTATCACAGACAACTTTCTTATTCTAAATATACAAATAAGCAAACCTTAAAGCCCTTGAGAAAAGCACAATACATCTTTTTTAAAAGCATGAATAGCATTTCTATTCTGTAAAGCTGCAAGGGGCAGAGGTTTGAAATTAGCAAAACTATAACCTTATTTCCTGCAAAATACGGCACCTTAGTCATCACAGTACTAGCTGGGAGAAACTTGCCTGCATTTCAGTGGATTTAAAGGGAAGCTAGAGAATGTTTTAATAAGAATTTCACAGATCAAACTCCTGTTTTTTCTAGTGGTGCAAAAAAAAAAAAGAAAAAAGTCAGTAGGATAAGGGTTCAGGACATTCTGAATCCACATTTAAAGAAATTATGAATTCTGCTGATGCCCGCTCAGCTGGTGCTAAGGAAAAAAAAATCTAGGAGCCGTTAGTTGGGGTGAGCTAAGAAAGGGTTTAATTAGCCAAGGCAATAGATGTTACACGACGCGCGTGCCCTGGGCTGTGCCCGAGATGTTACATTTATAACAATATCTGGCCAATCCCAAGTGTGTCCACCCTATAACTTTTGGCCTGGTCCACCCCCTGGCCCGCCTCCTGGAATTGGGTCGGGGGGCTTTTTGGGACCCCATCTTCATCATTCTTCATCATCTTCGGGGTACAGAGAGCAGAGTCACCCAGTTCCTTGACTCTGTCCTGCGGTTTAGGCCAAGATATAAGCGTTCTCCAAACAAGACAGGCTTGCTTTGACTAAGAGACTAAACATTTTCTACTGGATATGGGAATAGGGTTGATATGGGGAGTATGGAATGGGATGAGAGGATTAAGGAATGTATAAACTAAGGGGTACTACGGGGAAGAGGGAGAAAGGGGTTTGTTTCTAAAATCTACTTCTATTACCTATAAAACTTATAAGGCTTACAAAATTAGAAAAATAAAAAACATTAGGGGGCTTAAGGCATCATGCTAATAGGAAATAAATACTATGAAACAGTTACTTTAATGAAACCTGATAACCCTTTGAGTTTTTGGGCAAATAGATATTCACTGGACTACAGATAAATGCAGGATTTATTTTTCTCTTTATTCAGCATGAAATAGAGATCCAACAGTTTTAAAATTCCTTTCTAGAAAGGGTATTATTTCCAGCACATTTATAAATATATAGTGCTTTTATCTCAAAATAAAATTGTCTCTAAAATGAGAAATAAAAGTTGTTTCTATTCCAAATCTATAACAGAAAAATGCTGCATTTAGTAGCTATTTGGAAGTCAATTGCAAGCAGATGGACAGAGCAGCAGGAGCACAATATCCATTGCTAGACATACCAGTGTTTTCAATATTAGCTTTCCACAAAAACTATCCACCTCCAAAAATCCTCACCAATATTTCTTCTACTTTACTAAACCTTATAAAGTGCACACCTACTGCATTACACTTCATTTTTAGTGTACAAATTTTCAGGTCAGAGGAATGAACATTCAGCTCAATTCTTATTGAACCTTTTAAAAGAAAAGTCTGGCAAACCCAGAAGCTATTGACAAGCAGAAAGCCAAAATAAAGTTGACTCATCCCCTTCTTACAGTTGTATAATTCTCTTCCTGTAAGGTACCTGTGACTTCCCCTAGTGCTACACAGAGAAGAGTGAGGGAATATTTTTGTTGGTTTTGTTTGTTTGTTTGTTTTAACTGGAGAAATAACATGCCTGAGCAACAGCTTTCAAAGATGGGTCCACCTTATAATGGATATTTTCCACACCAAGTAATGCCTCCATATGCTCTTTGTGAGAACAACACCCTCTGAGAGGTATGATAACCGTATATGTGCCTGGCTCCTAGGTAAAGGCTTTGGAATTATCACTGGAAAACACAGTTCCCCACTCTGAGATAATACATGCTCAAGCTTGGTGACAGACAAAATGGGTACCTATGGCTGTGTCACTGTGGGCAGGCTGGTGCCCAGGTGCTTGCAAGTTTTCCCCCTCAAACCAGTCTCCTTGGTGGATGCAGGAGCATGATTCAGATCTCCACATTTGGTCAGATGAAAGAAAACAGAAAGACCAGGAAGGCACTAGAGGACTTGATATGGGAAAAGTAAATGATGCAACTTGATGCATTCCATGACATGGGGCATATAACTGAAGCATGTCCCTCTGCACTGGATTACACAGGGGGTTATTATCCCATTGCTAGGAGGGCAGTAAATTCCTAATTAGACCAGGAAATCCACAATCAAGTATACAACATCTTCCCAACAATGCTCTTCAATTCAGTGTTGTGGGCATATGAATTCCAAAGTTGTTCAGCCCAAATGCTCATCTCATCACCCCTGTGTTAATCATCCAGCTACCCAAACAGCATCCTGAGCCTGCTTCAGTGAGGAAATTTCTCATTCACATTCTCTTTCTTCCCTTACTCATCAAAACTAGTCCTTTGCACAGTAGAATATGTGCAGCATAATCAGGGAAAACCAGCATTTTGCAGTCTCTTAATGAAATTTTCAGCATCTCTCCTGAAAAATTATTTCTGCACGTAATTAGCTTTAAAACTGGAATTCACAGCCACCACTGATGTGGTGCTGATTAACAGATGGGCCCACAGCATTGTTACCAAGTGTAAATTTCACTCTATGCTTGTATACTTAAACACTTGTATATGTCAACACATAAAAGGATAAATATAAATAAGAAATATGTGAAATGTATGAAGCATATAAAATGGATATGTAAAAATATAGAAAAACATTGAAGTAATAAAATAGTACACTTAATAGTTCTGAGTTAACAGGCACACAACCTTTTCCCTGTACACATGATAAAAAAACATGTACAGGGCAGGGGTGAGGAAGCCTTGTTTGGAATTCCATTAAGAGGTTTGAGATTCTACTGAAATGGAAATTAAAGCTTTGAACTGACTCTAATATTGGCTGTAGATAAAACCATTTGGTAAACTAATATTTTTATGTGTCTTATCAAAGAAATTTGGACAGAATCAAAGCAAATGTCTTGAGTTTGACAGTACAGGGGAACAACAGGTACACAAAGCTGATGCCTTTTCCTTTCTTCCCCAAGCCCTAACTTCATATTCTTTCTGTGGTCTCAGGTTAAAGACATTTTCTGTGAGATTAGTACATAGACTCTCTGCATTGTCTCTGGTCACAAACACATCCCTAGATGTGCTTAGAAAATCTCCTTGAGGAAAGTCTTGCACTGAAAAAGCATTGAATCCAGTTAATTTGCTAATTAAACCTATATTTGCCAGTGGCATTTAATACAACACATGAAGAGACAACAGTATTGCACCTTCACAACCCCAAGGTAGTTGAATTGCTGCTATTGACATTCTACACAGAGAGAGCAAGACAGAGATGACAAGCAAGAGGAAGAGGCAGTGATAAAGTCTGAATTAGCTCAGAAATGTTTTTGCTAGCACTTTTGTGCTCAGGTGTCAACTTTCTTATCCAAAGTGCGTTCCAAATTAAATAGCATTTTAATTTTGCTAGAGTTTAATCACAGGTAATAGTTTTTTAATATGATTGGGCTCTCTATATCTCTACATTAATATTTAACTGCTGTATTTTTTCCAGGTTGGTAGGAAAGCTTGCAAATAGTCCTAGAAAAGAACCTGCTCTTTCCTACCCCAAACCCCATGTACCACACACACCATGGTGGCTGCGCAGTGCACTGCTGTAGAGCTCAGCTGGCTGTAGGAGGGCTGCATCTCCTGAAAGATGATTAGCTCAGCCTTGCTTTGCCCTGCGTAGCTGTAACTGATTTTCCCAAGTTCCTTTATGTTACCAATATACTGTGCCATACCCATGTCAGAGGTCTGTCTCACACTGCCCAGCTCAGGGTACCCTGCGTCTGAAGGTACACAAGAATATCTATACTATTCTCCTTTACCTTCCTCTGCTAGCTCCAGTAAGTGGTATTTTAATGCATCCCTTTCTTACTGGACTCAGAACATACACCACAAGAGATATCTGGGACTGGCTCAAGCCGGCACTGGATCTCCAAGTGAAATCCAGGCTTCTTTTTTTTACTCTACTCATACACTGTATTTACCTTCTCCAATTCCAGTGATGTATTAACTCCTTTTATTTTATATGCTGTCAGTGGAGTGACTACAAAAGGCCAGTGAGGGAACACATCTCTCTTAGCCCTCCCTGCCCCAGTGCAGGGCACCAACTCTAACCTGGAGGCACCCTTTCTGCAAAGGAAAGTAACCCACTTCTTTTCCAACCAGTCCTCAACTTTTCCCACACTCTGGCCAGATGGAGTTGATCACTGGAAGTGTATATTTGTTGAGCCTTACACAGAGAGCACCAGTTCTCTTCCCACGTAAGTTGTTCTACACCCATCAGACAGTAACAAGGAGCCACCAAAACTCACTTTGTAATCTGCACTCCAGCTCCCAGCCTTGAAGCTTCTACCTCAGCATTCAGCTAGTGGACCAGCAAGCTTCAAGCAAGAGAAATGCTTTCTAAATCTTCATTAGAGTGATAATATAATGCGTACATAATCTAAAACTCTTCTTGCCTACATGGCTATACTACCAGCATTACTGCCAGAATCATCATCACCATCAGTATTATTACCATCTTCATTAGACGAGATAATCTCAATTATCATTAGTTCTAATTTATTATGTTCCTCATCAGCTCTGTCATCAGTGTCATTCATCTAATAGTTACTTATAAGCATTTAACAGAGAAAAACAACTGTTAATCTGCAACATTTAAATCAGCTCTGAGATCAAAAGTGAAAAAATACATGAAACTCTCAGACCTCCCACAGCACTGTAACTACCAACACTTCAGAATAAGAATTGTTCTCCAGAAAATGTCCATATCCTTCTACAGAGGCCAGTGGTTTTCACCAGGAAAGGTGGGCAATGATGATCTATCTGATCACCCCTGTGCAGCAGACATTTGTGCAGAGAAGGACAAGGAACAGTCCTCCCTGACTAGAGAGTGACAACATTTCAGGATAGGAAACAATAATGAAGGTCAGGAGCATACCTGCACATTTATCTCCACCTCACAATTGCAGTTTGCTGAAATGATCTTTTCCTCTCAATTATTTCTTTACATGTCAGTGAACTGCAACAGCCCAGGCTCAGCATAATTCACAGTCAGCTGCATTTTGATGTTGTTTGAAAATGGGAAATGCTGGGATACCACCCAAAGATGGACATCAGTGTGGCCGTGATCTTTTACGGTCACAGAAACTCTTCCCTTAAGGACAAGTCTATTATAAATCCTTGGATGACCCTCAAATACCTGCGGATGTATTTGTTCAACAAGCCTCAAAGCCTGAACGCTGGAGTTAACAGACCTATTTCATATATGCCACAGATGAGGGAAAACAACCTAGGGCATGTCATTTCACAGCCAGATGCCTAAACCAGAAGTTCCCAGACTGTCAGCAGGGTCACTTCTGCAACGCTCGCACAGCAAGGAGCCATACCAAAAAGCCTGCTAATGGCAGGACTGATCCCACAGACAGTACAGGTCTCCTTGAGCCGCAGGCACGTGCGTGGAAAGCCAGATGTCCTGGTTTGTGTTTCTGGCACAGCACCGGGCCACTGCAGCCAAACTCTTCCCTGACCCAATTGCACAGATGTCGGAGGACCGGCAGCAGCACAGGGCTGGTTTTTTATCTTCATAAGAGCAGATGCAGGAGGGGACTGATACACGTGAACCCATAATTATAAATTCCATTGCAATGAAGCATTTTGCAGTTGTTTCCCATTGGCAACCTGCAGCACAGGGGACAAAGCAAATGGCAACCAGTGGCACAGTGTTTTTGGTAACATGAAGGTGATTCCTCACCGCTGACATCTGCGTGACAGTCATCCACTCGGGAGGGATGTGGAAGTGAGCGCCGGCCGAGTCTCCCAACAGCACGACCCCTTGTGAGTCTGCACCTAATTAATGCATTTTATTAGTCACGTGAGCAGAAAGAGCAAACTGAAAACGAGCATGGAGAGCAATGCACAAAGAAGAACAGCCGTGGCAGCTGAGGGAGTCACAGGGTGACTGACTATACCACTCTTCATGAGGCTTAAACGTTCAGACCCTGAAAGAGGATTTTCACTCCATCTGCAACAAAAAATGTCTAGCAGGCATTTGCCATCAACCCTAGAGAAACAACTGGGAACTGGGCATGAAAAACAGGAAGAAGTCTTGCTAATCAGAAAAAATCCTAGTTATATTCAAATTGTGTGTTATTTCAGCAGAGGTTCTGCTGTGCAGCCAGTGTTTATTTTTACTATCCATAGAATATGCATTAAAAAGTATTTAAACATTTAGGGAAATCGGATTACTCAGAAAATTGCTCAAAGCTCCTTATAACAGAACTGGGTGGTGGATGTGCTACTCATATGAGTATTTCTGCTAGAACATCCTGTCTGGTTTATAATTAATGTTACTTAGCATTTGTAGATTGCCTTTCATCTAAAAATATTGAGAAGTCTTGCCAGGCAATGGTTCATTCCCTGATTTAAATATAAGGTGAGGTGCGTGGCAACTGCAGTCAGGGCTGTTTTGTGAGGTTGTTATTTGTGTGATATGTACACAGGCACCCACCCACCTTGCAGTTAGGGAGATCAGCTGATGCCATCACTTTCCCTCTTTGGGAGATCAGCTGATGTCATCACCTCTGTAAGTCCTTCTCCAGAAAAGGATCAGCATGTATTTATGGCAATGAGTCAAACTGGACAAATGCTGATGTTAAACTGCTCCCCTGAATCCCCAGGCCAACCCTCTGGGTTAGGCTTCAGGCTCCACAGAAGATGCAGAGGTGATATCTCTGTTTGCTGCCGTCCCTGATCTATGTGTTCAACTTTTAACTGAACTGACTTTTAACAGGAGATTACTAGCAGCTGGTGTTTTTCACATTTCCTCTTTGCTCACCCTCAGGATTAAAAAAACCCAACAATTTTGCCATTTTGCCTTTCTCATGATGTTGTAAAGCTCATTAAAATGCCTTTCCCCTGCATTGTCAATGACATTGTTTCTTGTATTAACTCTGAAGATTTACCTTTGCAAAATTTCTCCTCATAGGGAATTCCATCTTTTGGATCCACACCCTGTTGGAGGGGAGAGATGATAGTAGCTATCTAGCACCTGAAGAGTGGCAGTGTAAATCAGAGACCGAGAATTTAGTTCTTCTTGAATGTTTGCCTGTAGGAAGCACTGTGTCATAATAATGATGCTTTCCATTATATTATTTTAATATGTACATTTAAATTAATTATAATAACCATCATTTATATAATCATAAGCATCAATAAACTAACTTCACTCACAACTGCTTCTCTTAATTGCTTAGTTTTTAATAAATGGTTCTATTATTTGGAATATCAAAGGCAGCAAAAAAATAAGAATAATCCAAATCAGTTAATAAACCAAAATAAATAAAAAAGAAACATTTGCAGGCTATTTCAAAAGGAGGAAAAAAGAGAGGCAGCAATCAAGAAGGTGTAATTTCATTTACTTACCCATATGCCATTGCAGTTAGAGTCACTTTTCACATCCCAGTTATCAGGACTAAAACAGAGTTACAAAGGGATAAACAGTATTACAGAAAATAAAGCAAAAGGGGCTTTTGAGGAAATTGGATCTTTAGTGTCATTTTTCGCTAAGAATAAAAAGCAGATAGAAATTCGTTTCTGCATGGAAGGGTGGGGGTTTTCCTCCTTTGAATCCAGAAGAGGAATTTTTCCCAGCAAAATGCAATATTAATTTAAAGTTAATCCTGGACGTTGCTGAATGAAACTTATCCTTTCAGTCTGTATATGCACTTAGCTGAAGTTAGTGGAGGTGATTCTTGGAAAAGACAGACCCTTCTCCCTGCCCTTGTAAGTGTTCACTGAAATCCACCAAGCCCCTCACTCCAAATTCAGTGCATGGTAATGAGGATTTTCTCTGGCCCATAAAACAGTATGATTAGCGCAGGCCTCTCTTGCAGGAAAACTCTATCTGTTCAGTCTCTGAATATCCATCTATCCAGGACTCTGTAAGCCCATTTCTGCTGATGCAGGTCTGCTGCCCAGGACGATGGCACATGATTCTTCCAAGGCCATACCCTTAATCTCAGTTTATCTAGTCACAAACTGGTTAATATCTACACTTTAAAACCAGTCCTGGTTAACAACTTCTTAGCAAAACCATGGTAGAGGAGAGCTGTGTTTTTGAAAAGGTAAAATAGCAAAAGCAACAGAGGCAAGGCCAGACCAACAGGACTGGCTGTGCTCTCTGTTCCAGGTCTGCATGAAAGTCCATGCTCAGGCAGCTGGGAGGTATGCACCCAGAAGGTATTCACTTAGAAGGGTACATTTAGCCCTACATTTCCACAAACCATTAGGATTGGATGCTGGAGGTCAGCAGCCAGCCACGAGCACTACTGTTCTGCACTCCCACCCTGCTGCTCCCTAAAATAGGCACAGCCTGCATTAGCTCAAGTGGAATAAGGTTTGTAAGCCTCAGCAGCATGGTTTCCCTCCTCCCTCCACATTTGGTGTGTCTGAACCAATTTTGGCTGCAGACACTTCAGAGAAAGGAAAGAAACCTGTGCATCACCTCTGCAAACGCACCCCACCCCTAATCTTGATCATCCCCTCCTGTCTCTATCACACTGAAATCAAGCAACAAGCAGTGATGCGCTATCTTAGAATATGGCCAAAATAAAATCTTGAGCTCATTCTTCAAGAAGCCACAATCACTAGGAAGCCTTTAAAATAATTAAAAGCTTTACCGTCTGCCAGGGTACACGGTGATGTTTTTGTCATTGCAGTCTCTGCCTCTCCAGTGATAGCCCCTCAATGTCTGAAGGCCAGGAGAAGCACACAGATAGGACAGTCACTATTACTCTTGCACTTTTAATTTAAAGTATCTAAAATGAGAATCTAACTAAAGGTGGAAGAATAAAACCCAGTAAACAGGTTGTATTCCAGAGTCCCTTTGCTAAGCTTTAACACCTTGCATGCTTTGGTGCAGAAATAAGACAAGTTGGCTTTTTTTTTTTTAATATGACTTTGCTTCACCTCTTATTAATTCAGTAAACAATCCACTCAGCAGCAGAGCAATTTGCTTCTGCAGGGAGCACAGCTTTATTCATGCATCTCCCCAGGTGGCATAAATGAATGATTGCTTTTTCATCCAAGAAAAATCCCCACATTTTATGATAAAAAACCATCCATTCACTTTATTCCTATACCTATTTTCACATGAATGGATAAGGCTTTGCAGAAAGTAAGAGGAATCCCATAGACATCCTCATTATCAAGGGATTAGTGTATCAAAGGAAAGGCTTTGCTTACTGGAAAAGTACTAAATTTATCTCCATCAAAATCTTCAAAAGGCAGTTTATTTCTTATAACACTGTAAAAAACAAAAACAAAAAACATAGTGTTAACATATGGGAGGGAACCTATTCAGAAAGTAAAAAACACAATGAAGCATACAGAATAGATAATAACTGGCATGTCATTCACTGCTCCATATTCAGTTTTAGCTCTGCGCTGTACTTCAGCAAAGTGATCCTGTCCAAAAGAACAAATTCTAATTTCTTTCAATACCTGCTGACTGAAATCTGGAGGTGAAGCTGATGGAATCCTGTATGGCTGCAATGTCAAACCTGCAGTCTCTAAAACAAACTAGGACATCAAATCTGTGGTAAAAGTGACTATAAATTTTTTGGAAATAAATACTACACTCAACATTTGCAGGCCTTGCAAACCTGTCAGATTCAAAATGCTAATGGAGGCCCTTCTCCCTGGGAAAGATCTGCAGAATGGATCTCATGCTGATGGAAACTAACTGCCTAATTACATCAACCTTTGAAAATTACATTTCTTTCTTTTTCTTTGTGACTTTTGTTTCCAGAAATCCTATAGGTTTTAGCAGCACCTGAAACTGGTGTTAAAATTATAGTGTCAGCCCTGTGCCCCTTCCTTTTTAGCTTGGGCATGTGCTCGCTTTCACATGGTGCTGCCCAAGCATGGCATTTCTCTTTGGCTATGGGACGCTGCTTAGCTCACCTATATTGAGCAGCCTTTCATATTTAGCCCAGCAGGCAGCACTCTTAAAATGATATGCTAGTTAATCTTTCCTTGGAAAGTTTTCTTTCCGAGTTTTTCCAAACTTTTGAGTTTGTAAGAGATGTTGAATCTGGCTGAGAGAACAAATAGGTGTGGATTCCTCAAGCTGCAGAAGCATCAGGATAAGAAAAAATGTAGAGGAGACTGCTGACATGCACTTGTGGATGTGATTGTCATCCTTATTGAGTTTGTAATCAGTAATTCCGATGCACTGTTTGGGCTACTTCTCTGCAGTAAGGTTCAGTTGCAAGGAACTGGCACAAATCTAGACCACTAAAAAGGTCCAATTGACAAATATATTTTTTTGCAGCTACAGAGAGAGGAAAGTGAAAAACCAAAGAGAGTGAGAGAGAGCGCATGAGGGAGAGGTCAGAAGAGTTGAACATATTTGATTCAACATATGATATACAATTTGATTGCTGCTTCCACTGTCTGAACTCACAGGGTTCGAACTCGGCTTATGTGTCCTGACTAACATTTCAAAGGCACTTACAAGATATTTCATGTCAATCAACCCATTCCCAATAAACTCCTGATATTTGCAGTTTCAATTAAATGAGCAGAAATAGTTGAGTTAGGTGAATAGGTGCCAAGTTAGTCTTGGCAGTTGACTCAGTCAAATATACAGTTTATAATACTGATGTAGATTTTCTTGACTCTTCCTCCAACTCATTGGACTACATTTACAAATATGCTTTAGGAGTAATATCCCAGCTCACGTCCTTGGCCTTTCTCAGAAACTGATTCAAAGTCAGCACTGCCATGAATGTTTTTTTTGTCTTGAGATTCTTCTACACTTCACAACTGACATTAAATTCATGTTCCTTACAGAGTTATACGGGTGCTGGTGGCCTTCCTGTGCTGAGCCGTGGGCACCACAACTGGGTGAACAAATGAAATGGAGAAGTCTCTTGGGCTCAGGAAATCTCAACAGAAAGTTAGTTCCCTCTTGGAAATGTCACATCTGTGAGTGTGTCACATATTTGACCTCTGGGACATGCTGAAAAAAAGCAAATGTTTTAAGTACTGAAAAAATCACAGGGATCCCTAGGAGGAAACTTACTTGCCTGATCTCTCTGCAACCTCCCTCTATACTACCTAGTCAGTGGTTTTATGAAGGAAACCAACATAAGTAAAGCGTGGGAAGCTTTGTTAACTAAGGACGACTTTTGAAAGAAGCAAATGTACCATAACCTGTTTATGGTTAAGGACTGAAATTTTATACGTACTATTTCATCTTCTCACACAGGTTAGCCAGAAGAGGAAATGTACAAATACTTGAGAACCCCATGAAGCTTTTCTGGAGAGGAAGAAAAATAAAAAAAAGATGAGTGCATTAGTTCACAGAGGTGGTGTACCTTGGGATATTCAGTGTCAGTAAATTACAGAGGTAAACCATGTATTTTCTGCCTAGAGACATCTAAAAACTCCAGTGATGCCATTAAGGATGCTACATGCCAGAATATTTAGACAATTCAACTACTCTTGCTTTCAAAGACCTGTAAACTAAAAAGGAATAAAAAGTTCCTGTGAAACTGTCTCCTCTCAAGTACCAAACTTACTTTCTCATTCTTTAAAAAAATTACTGTTCTCATGTTTGATAAACATGATGGTATCTGACACAGTGCGGAAACATTGTGAGCCATGAGGTTTGTTTCTACATGCTCAGGGAGGAGTGGATAGGCCAACAACCCCAAAGAGAGGAGAAATAGGACGATCCAGAACGTGCAGAGAATACCTTTGAATTTTAATGAGATTTTACTTGGAAATCTCGTAACTATATTTTATCTTGTCCAGACCTGGAAGCTGTAAAAGACAGCTGCTGCTGGAAAAACTCTTTCCACATTAGTAGACCATTACCAGGGGCCAATCCAGTTCATGTTCCAGGTAGCCAGGAAGTTTAAGAAGCTGAAAGAGACTTTCCTAATGAATGGAAATATTGTGCTGCATTGGCAATGAATCCCACAAACACACTGCTCATGTGGCTTCACTGTAACTTCAGGTGGTCTTTAAACACTGAGGGTGCTCAAGTGGTCTATAAATACAGAGGGCTAGTCGGTGCACAGCCTAATTAACTGTATTCACTAAGGCTACATTTAGCATGTAAATATGGAGCAGATGAGCAGATGGGCATAATCATAACTTGAAGCAAAGAAGGGTAATTATTTATATTGACATAGCACTTAAAAGCTCTGTCCTTGGACCAACTGCCTTGTATTACATACTTTATATACACAGAGAAAAAGAGTAAGATAGTCCTCGCCCTAAAAATATTACAACCCAAACCCAACGTAAAACAGAAGATAAAGGTGGGATACAACTCAGGAGAGGACAATGAAAGGTTATTACTCACCATGAGGGGCAGTAACCTCAGCGTATAAAGCTCTGAGTGACAGAGGAGAACCTTGAGGCAGCATTGCAGGGCAGGGAACCAGTAGACCATAGTGTGTAGGGCACTGCCTTACAGCTCCAGGAAAGGTGTTCGCTTGCACAGGTAACAAGGGGTGATGGAGATAAGGGTATCACACTGCCCAGAGCAGGAGGTCAGCCACAGCAGTGTGCCACAGTCAGGATCTCAGTGTGGAGAGGAGGGCTGGGGTAGTGAAGAGGGGATAGAGCCCCTAGTGCAAAGACTGTAGTCAACATTTGCAGTGGCGGCTGAAATGACCAGGCAGCAAGATGAAGATGAAAAAGAGTGGTACTTTTTTCAGTTACCACTGAAAAGGAGCAGGAGGAGAGATCTGCAGTGGAGGTGGAACTGTAACAGTGCACTTTCTGAAGGATGCAAAAGTGAAATCAAAGGAGAAAAAAAAGAGGAAAGTCAGGGAGATGAGACAAGAAACCCAAAAGAAACCCACCAATTAATTCTCCTCATCTCTGCCCAACACACCCAAATGACAAAACTTGAGTCACACTGGTTTGGGGGTGAGGAGGTGTTGGTAGAGTGAAAGGAGAAAGCAGAACACCATCACAGAAGAAGTAGAGAGAAATAGCCAAAACAGCCGGGGAGTGGGGCCTTTTCTTGAGCTGAAAGACCAACTTTGTCCTGCTGCTGTGACTTCAGTTGCCATGTGCTCTTCCCCATTCTACTGCATCTCTGTATTCAAGCTACTGGCTGCCTTGGGGCTATGTCCTGCAGCATGGCAGGGACACGGACCTCCTTTTTGCTCTGCGTGTGCGCGTACATGTGTATGATCAGGTAGGCAGAGAGCGTGAGGTGCACAAGCAGGATGCCAGCTTTTCTCAAAGAGATTTGAAAACCCATGTACACCTTCCTGGAAAGAGGAAAGAAACCACTTCTCCCGCCTTCTTCATGCAGGACTAATCCTGCCTACAGAAGCACTAGAGGCTCTTAAAGCTTTCCATCAGGCTAAGATTTGCAGTGTCTTGATCTGAGCTGTCAGGTTTTCACTTCAGCCTAAGTCACAGTATGCAAAGCCTTTGAAGTTAAAGCACCTGGAGCCAAAACTGCACCAGAAAGACAAACTACAGGGCTTGCAAGAAATAAATACAGAAATAAAATCTCATTTCATTCTGTTCACGGGCTGCACTTAAAGCCTACCCTTTGCTGTAAGTAGAATAAAATTTTTCCTGCCTTTTTCTCAGCTAATCATTTCAAAATTGTTGCTGACTGGATCTCCGTTAGTTTCAAAGGAAGACTATCCTGCAGTCCCAGAGACCGCCTAACTTTGGTGGGAATGGTCGTGTGTTGGTGATGTGGAATTGGTGTGGGCGATGCTGAGGAGCTACTACAGCAGTACTTTGGAGCACAACAACCTCTGGCTCCCCAGCCCATGCATCCCCACAGCAGGTGGGACAGTGAGGTCTGAAGGTAATGCTTTAGCTCTGCTTGGGGTTGTGCAGGAGGTTGGTGTCTTGGGCTACTCTTAAAAGGCATAAAGGAATACAGGTTTCAAAAAAAGAGAGAATCTTTGCATGTGCAGGTACTATAAGATCCTTCCCAGCAGAGACAAGCTACGATTGCAGTATGAGTTTCTGAGAGAAGATGGATTACTTGCCCCTGTGTAACATGAGTGGGATACAGGGAAATTAGCCTATGCTCTCCTCTTCCCGACAATTCCCTTTGGCTTCCCACTTCTCCCCCTGCCAGGCTGTGACTTGCAGGTCTCCCACTGCCAGGCTGTGACTTGCAGGGACCTCATAGTCATGGCAGAGTTGTATGCATGGTGCCTGCTCTCACTAAATGCTACAGCCACAACCCTATTCACCATTCGTTCACCACTATTGCTCAAAGATACCCCTTAGTATCTTCTCCACCCGTAAAAAAAGTTAGCACTAGAGGTGCTCACAGTGATTGATAACACTAATATTTTATTCATTGCCTGTTAATGTTCCCTAATGGCATTTCTGTAATTATTTTAATTGGTTTTACTAAAAAGAATAACAATGAGCCCCTAATGCTTGTTGGTGTTTGGTTTAAGCCAATCACTTGCAGATGGCTCACTCCTTTTAATGAATGGAGACATTTATTAGAATCTTTTGGGTTTGTAGCCAATTTCATTGCATCTCTACATTAGTCAAATATCTTTTCTTTTTCCCAAACTCACAATGATCCACAGAAATTCCAAGTAAATACGAAATCCTAGGATCTAGACAGACCTCCCATTCTCATAACCAACATTCATAATCATGCCTTTTTTTATGCAGTCACACACAGCTGCCAAGCCAAGATGGGAACAACTAACTTGCAAGAACTTTTTCAGAAGGCTTTCCCCGAACATGCAATGGGGCAAAAGCAACCAAAACAGCAGATATGGGAAGAATGAACAGATATAATTTGATGTTTTGGTCTAGCATGAGCCAGAGCATAAAAGAGGCCAGGGGAATCTTTTTCTCTCTCTGCTGATGTGGATGCAGTGATGTCCTACCACAGATGGGGTTTTTCTGGATCCTCACCCACACATTCAGCCAGGTAATCCTCTTCCCAAGCAGTGAGAGCTCCTCAGCTCTCACTGCCATGTGTATCTGCATGTGCAGGTGAACAGACCATGATACAGCAGCCTTCAGACTGGGCAGGTGATTTTCTTACTATTTCATCACATGCTGCTTCTCTGGGATACATGGCTCATGCAAGCAGGATCCATACTGTGCTCTCTCCTAGAGATTCTTCTTTGTCTTTCTCACTATATTGTTTTTCTGGATCTCAAAATAACTTTAATCTGTGTGAATGGGAAATTGAGAGATACAGTAATGCTTCTAGAAATGTTATTTTTAATTTTCCAGGTTTAAAATAAGTTTCATCCAGGCTCATTACAGGGAGCACACTAGGAATAACCTCAGGAGAGGCTCAAGCAAGCACATGATACTTATTTTGATTTGAGCTGACCTTGTATTGTGCAGCTATGGAGGTTTAGAAATACATTGACTGGAGAAACCTAACTATGACTGTGGTGCTTCTAGATGGGACACAGTCTACTTGTCCTTCCTGCTGGCAAATGGGAAGCTAGGAACAGGAAAGGGCCAAGGGTGTTGTGATGGAGATTGAGAGGGGTATTGGGGCATTGAGCAGCTTTGAGGATACGGGACAGTAGAGGCAAAATAGCAGTGCAAAATAGAGCCTATTGCACCCAAAGATTGATGCCAACCGTGCCACCCTATCCAGGAGAGCCTACAAAGGCCAAACATGGCCATGCAAGGATGCAACCCAATATGCCAAGGGTAGAAACATGTGCGAGGGAGCAAAGGAGCCCTATGTCCTGGGGGACAGCTCTCCCAAGCCTGTAGCTGCTCTCTGGCTAACAGAGAGGACCTGCTTGACTCAGAGCATCTTGCTGCAGGTGTTAACATGGGGTCCAAGGAAAGGGGATTAGAAATTTAATGTAATTTGAGCAGAAATCTCAGGCCATCAGTAGCACAGCACTGAATAGGAAGGAAAATGAATAAGATCCTGCTGGTTGCTGTTCCGTGGGAGGTGCGACCTGTCTCTCCAGTGCTTTGTTTATTTCCCTGGCTTGGCAATTTGGCAATTGCCCAAAGGCTAATTAGGCACCTCAATTTTCACTTTTGTGAGTAGCATCCCAGTAAGGAATCAGGAAGAAGCAGTACCAATAATTTCATCACAAACAGCTAAAACATTTGCTCTGCTTTAAGTACCTGAAGACAATTGGAAGTAAACTCTGTGGCTGAGCTGACTCACCTAAGTGAATCCAGCAGAATATAAACTGCCCCTCCCTTCTCTGCTACCCTTTAGAGATCTTCTACAAATCTGAAAACTGTTGGAGGTAGAAAGATTTCAAATCCTACTTTTCAAGTTTAAAGGCAAAGGCAGTCCCTCACAAATAAAGGAAAAATATGCAGAATTTGCATTCAGACCATTGCTTGAGTTTCAGACAGCCCTAAAATGCACTCTCTGTGCTGTAAGCCAGTAGCTCACTTCATAAGGCACCCACTTACATACTGCTACAAGGGAAGGCAGGGATGATAAGGGTCAAGGAAGAAGCACGAAAAAAAAGAGGAGCAATAATAAACACTGCAAGAAGTTTGAAGGAATGAAGGAAAAACACAGGACAAGGCTGAGTGGGAAATTCCTGTCTTGGACCAGTAAAAGCAAGTGTCTCAGTGTGAAGCTATATTATGGAGCTCACAGATGAGATGCTGATTGCTGCATGCATTTTAGACATAAATTTATGTCTTGGACAGATATGGATATAGATTGTTATCCCTTCTCTACAAACAATCTGCGTTTTCATGAGGGTTTTTTCTGCTCTCCTCATGCTTTCATATTTCTTCTCTATTTCTCCCTCTCCTTCTTCCCAGTGTCACCTGACAGAGCAGATCCTCTGCCAGGTAGGAGTGAGTCAGCATTCAATTCAGAAGGATTCACAGTCATACAAAATAAAAAAGGACTCACTCCTGATAAAATGCAAGTACAGTGTAAAACACCCTAATGCCATTGATTTCTTACCAGGTCCTTCGAAGTCTTCATAATTCTTCTTGCCTTTTTTATTGCGGTTCTCAGTCCTACCTAGGGGAGCAAGAACAAAATGAAAAACAACCAGATCAGCCTCACAGTATCCCACCAACTTTTCTTCCTATTTCCTACCTTTTTTTCTATTTAATATATCAGTCACAGCACAAATATGATGTATGAGTCCACAAACTCCTCATCAGTTACTTTTTATTGGACTAACAATCAATTATCCAGTCACACTCTATGAAACTCCAGTTGCAAGAGTTCATTTATTTTGCTCCAGGGCATCATTTATTTCCTAAGTAAAAGTCCAGATCAGATGAAATTCATATCCTGACTGCACTGTGTGAGCTGCAGAGGACATACTTCTCTGGTGACTCCTCCTGAAGAACAAGTCATCCATTAGATGGCTAAAAGAGGGTTACACATGTAATGTCAGTCTGACTTGCTGTGGAAGGGCACAGATGAAATATTTGCTCTTGCATGGATAAGGGTTATACTCAGCTGAGGTTCATCCCAGCAGGGGAACAGCTGGCATGCAGGAAGGTGAAAAGCAGAGAATAGAGTTTGGAAGGAAAATCTCCTGCCTAGGATCTAGGAAGGTTAACTTTTTATTCTGGAAATACCTGACCTGCAGGGCAAGTTCTTGCTGACAGTGGGAAGATAATTTTTCTGTTGTGTCCATGCCAACTTGTGCTGAAGAAGCATTTTGGGGTACCTCCAAACTGAGGATACTTACACCTACATAGAAAGGAAGAGTGGGAGAACCATTGGAAGAAAATACCTTGGAAAGGCGTCATCAGTTTGGCCATCATAAGGCCATGGGTTACAAAGAAGTCAACTACAAGTGATGCCCAAATAATTCCTCAAATCCCTTTACACACATGCTCCTCAAAGGAGGAAAGTAAATTTTGTGCAAGGGGCACCATCTATGAGCGTGGGTGACAGCCAGGGTCCAGCACTGCTGGCAGCAGGAGGACAGATGTGCCGTGTGTGGTGCTGCAAGGCTGTGGTCAAATGCACACTGATGGCCACTTGTCACGGCCGGGAACTGCCAAACACTGCCATGGTCCTGCTCTCAAAGCCTTCCTCGAGGCTCTGCCATTGCAAAAACCTCAACCAATACATTTTTGCAGCCCCCTAGTCCACTGCTGTGGGTCCTGCCTGGCTAAATGTTGAGCCACCGGGAGGAAGTAGGGGCAGGATGTTTCTGCACCATGCTGCTAAGCGTTGACTCCAGCCTTAAGAAGTCTGTCTTGCATCACAGCATAGAAGGCCATATTGGTTCTTCTGCCACAAGGACTCTTCCCAGTCATGGAGGTGGGGAGATGCCCCAGATATGCTCATGAAGTCAAAAATATTTAACAACAGTTTAACAGCTCTGATGAACAGCACTTTCTAAATTCAGCCACATCTTCCCAAAAGAAAGGAAGATCTCACAATTTTAATTTAGGGGAAAAAAAAGAGAAAAGACAGTCACAGGAGTCTGAAAGGGTCAGGGTAACACCAGTGTGCTCCCCTCTGCTGCTCCATTTTCAGTTTAGGACAATATTCTTGTATCTCAGTGATGACAATTCCTATATACTGTCCTGCATTTATTAGGCCACCTTTGAAAACAGTCATATCTGTGAGGCAGTAGCTATGTCATGGCCTCTGTCCTTCCCCTCAGCATTCAGAATGAAGAAGGCTGAAAACACAGCCTGTTTGCTCTCTTTCAGAAGGAATAGCTACTTATGTTATGTAAGGTTTGAGAACTGGTAAAAAAAATACCCTAGGATAAAAAAAGGAGATAAAAATAAATTACTTGTGACAATGTTTCAAATGGAAAAGCAAATCCAGAGTATAACAAACATGTTAGCACTTAGTGTCTGCTCAAAATTGTTAGTGAGGACGAACTGTTCTCTCTGACAATGACCTGCCATCAGGCTCTCCTACAGCCCAGCCTAAGGACATAACTACCAGCCTAACACCAACGAGGTTTATGTTTCTCTAGATAGAGCTACAGGAACTCAACACAGGGGCAAAAAGTATGCTTCTCCACATGGTAATATTAAAGCATTTGGAAAAAAAGAAAATATCCCTCGAGTGATGGCACCTTACTGAACAGTGGGCATGCCAGCTAGGAATATTACAGCAGAATATATTTGCATTTAAAGTAATCATTATCAACATTTTTTTACTGGGGATAAAATTTAGCATGTGATTATAATTGATTTAGGCAGTGATCAAAGCAAATTAATTAACCATGATATTCAGGGGTCAAAAATTTATAGTGAACAATCCAAGGGATACGGAAGAATAAGCATAAGCAGCAAGGAAGACAGACTTCTAAGTTACTGGAGTTTAACATACGTGTCACTTTAATATATGTAGTTAATATATGTTTAATTCATGCTGTCTATAGTCTTATAAAAATCAGGGTATGTCACAAATAGATGAGAGACACTAGGAATGAGCCATTGTTTTCTAGTTTCTTCCCCCTGGGCAATAACTGCTGTCCCCAAAACCAATTATGCATCTTACATTTGCCATAGTTACGTTGCACGATACCAGCTGCTGTCATTTCTGCAATAAAATAACTTGAGAGGTAGATGAGGAAAATGGCTTAAAATTGAGTATAATAGATGGAATATTTCCAGAGAGGTAGGATTTATCACTCCCTTTCTGCCTGTCAGGGTGGGAGAGACCTTGCTTGCTCACAGCAGCAGCACATGAGAAATGCATGCTTCAGACAGCTACAGAAATATTGCAGTCAGAAAGCAGAAAACAAGGGAGGAAAGGCTGAATTGACCTTGCATGTAGAAAATTGTCTCTCTGAAGTGCTAAGTATGAGACCTTCTCTCACTTCACAAGTTGCTTCAGCCAAGACACCAGCTTAGGCTACAGAAGACTGGCAGCTGATACACCCACCCTGGAGAAAACACTCCTGGTTTTATGGGTCACTTGTAATCCCTGGCTGACACCAGCGGGTCAAGCCTGCCACCGAAGGCCATACAGCCCATACAACCTCTCTTGCTGCATCTTGGTTAGCAAGGAGCCTCCTCTCTTTCCCATGGCATGAGAACACCACCAGGGAGGGGGCTCCCCAGGCTCCAGCAGCTGATGGGTGAAGCTGCAGCCGCAGCGCGGAGGGTGCACTGCAGTCCTGGGGAGAAGCCAGCACCACCTGCCCAAACTGGTGCAGCCCTGCCACCCCGACATACCCACACCATGGACAGGGATGAGGGTGGGGGGGCACTGGGATTTCATTTACTGCCTTCTTTCAATGCTTTCCACAGAGACCATGCATTCCCAGTAATGATTTTTTTTGGAAAACAGATGTATTTCTCATCATAAACAAATGCATGAACCAAATCTAATTGTCTCTCGTTTATCATCCTCGTTGGCCAGCTCTTTCCCAGGAGAGTGGTTATTTACAAAACTCTCCAAGTTTCCCTTCTAACTCATTTCATCATCCTTTTACGAAGAGTACTGAGATACGAAAAATCTGCAAAATTTGTCAGTGTTAAATGGCAGTGACAAAAGTGGGATTTGTTCAAAAGCAACGCTTTCTTGTCCTCACACTTTTGTCTGCCACCCTCCCACCCCAAATGCCTCTGTGCCTGTGAGTCACCTGAGACCTGTTTTCAAGGGTCCTGCCTGTGGCAGCTTCTACATCAGCATGATGCAACTGCATGCAGCACCCTGCAATTCTTATGCTACCCTATTTCCTTTGGATTATTTGGTGGAAAGTTGGGGTTGTGTGATTTGGCTTTTTGGGATTGTTTGGTTTTTTAATTAGGGTAGGGTTAATTTTATTTTATTTTATTTTATTTTATTTTATTTTATACTAGCGAAGAGGAGCAGAGGAAGTGCTGAGAAACAAGTGAAAGAATAGGAACTAGTGCTCAAATTGTGCCTTCTGCTATCATTTGTCTATTGATAGTTTCTTCAGAGCTCGGTTCTGACTGCAGGAGAAATGACTCACGTTTCAGTGGATTTGACCCATTTCCAAAAAGAAAGGCTAAAAGGAGGACATCTTGCTTCACAGGACCTAGCCTGCCTCTCAGATGCTTGTTTTACTGCCTACGGTCTCAAAAAAAGGAAACAGGACCCAGTCATGAGATCTACCTTTGACTGGTAGCCTGCTCTTATCAGGAATGCAGAAGCACTCCCACCCTGGAGTTTGGTTCTGCCTCACCTCCCAGGAGGCAACTCACATTTTTACTGACAGAGAGGAATGAAAGAAAACAGCAGGAGTATTTTTATTTTATTACACTCCAGGGGGTTTCCTTTTTCCACCCAGAACTGGTTGGCTCCTACTTTGTCAAAGAGCATGCTGGCCACAGTCATGTCCATGAGGGGGCTTTTGCCTTTTGCAAAGTCAAAGACCTGATAGAGGGCACATGAACCAACATGAGTGCTTGTGGAAATGATGGTTATTTTTGTAAGATAAAATAATAATAACATAAATACATGTATTACTGCTGATGTAAGATGACTTCTGTCAAAATCCTATTGCAGCAAATTGCAAAATATGCAGCCACAAGGTCTCTTATAATCTGGAGCAGAAAAGTGATGGGCAGCAGAAGAGGGACCCTGAAAGACAGAAAGAAGAGTACAAGCTCCTTCCAACACAGATTGTTTTAGAAATTTCCAGAGCACGACTACAGTGCTGAAATCCAGCCATTAGTCTGGCCCCAAAAAAATCAATTAAAGTATTGCCATTTAACTGAACAGGCCAGCTGGCTTAAAGCAATCTAGAGACAAACTGAGAGTAATCTCCTGCAAATCTGTTTGCTCCCAGGGCCAGAAGGAAAACTTGGTAGGCAGTGCCTAAAACCCTTCACCCTATTTCAGGCCTTTTTGCTCACTAGAGGAACATCACTGTATTACACGACCTAGTGCAGAAAGTCTTCCACCATATGAGCAGATAAATATTTTTAGCTAAAACATTATCCAGTCAACCTAAACCACTGTCTTGGATGCCTATACCACTGTCAGCATTTTGGAATGATGCTGCAGCCCATATTAGAATATCTGCTGTTGATGTGGCTTAAACCACAGGACATATTACAGAGGTAACTTAAAACACATTAAAGCAGCTTTAGATACTGTCTAGTGTTCAGCTACCTTTAGTAAGCCTACACTTTTGATCTGCCCTATTTGCTTGTCTCTTTACTTGAAGGAGTCCCCAGTGTTGCCACCCTCCTACTAAAGGGTAGAGGAGAACCTCTCATTGGGCAAGAAACATGCAGTGGGAAAGCCTATGCATGCAAATCTACCTGTACTTCCATCTCTGACCCTCTATGAGCCACTGGAGGCAAGAAGGGGCTCACAGGACCCCAATACAAGTGACATCTGATCACTCAGCCACACTGGTGATCCAGGAGCCACAAAAGCCTCTTCTGTTTCCCCCCACCAACATCAGGGTTCTGGTCCTGAAACTGCCCACCAGCAGAGCAGCCCACCTTGCCCAAGACCCCAAGGAGACATCTCAACAGAGCTGCCTTTGCCCTGGTTGGATGCTCTCCTCCTCCAGCTCTGCACTGAGAGCACTGAGCTCTGTGCGAACGGAGAAATATTTTTTATTCATAATTAGAGCAAAGCCTCCTAGAATAATCACAGAGTGCTAATGGCTTCAGGCAGCTTGGCAAAAGAAAAAATTAATTTGGGCTAATTTGTCAGACACCAGGGAAGTATGTAGTATGATGCACGTATCATTTACACAGCTTGCAATATCTCCAGTAAGTAGTTAGCAGGGCCGCTGAAGCAGGGGCCCCTCCTTCCTCAAGACACAGAATCTCACCAAAACAACAGAAAAAAATCAAGTACTGACTGAAAAATCAGCTACACATTGATATTTTCCACCTTAAAGGCAATTAAAACCTGAAAATTATACTGCCTTACAAGGACAGGTAACTATTTATTTTATTCCCTTTGCCAGTACAAAAATGATACTAATTCTGGGAAAATGGGCATCCAAAAGTCTAAATGAATAAGCAAAGTACCTGAAAATCAATAGAGTTGAACAGAACAGTCATTAGTATTAAAGTCTTGTTCAAACACTCGGCAGGGGACTGCACCAACATTTGCAGGCTCATAAAACTGAAGTGATCAATCAAATTACAAATGAAGGAAGCAAATATGAGGTAAACTGCATTTTATGCATCTGTGTCTCTGATTGTATATTAATTTTTTTCACCCATAATTCATCTTTACTCAGTCTGACTTGTCACAGTTACTGTGGGCAATTTATCAACCACTTGAGCATGAACTTGAAGCACTGCTCTTCTCCTCCCATCTCCTCATACTGTCTCAGGGCACCAGGAGAGCCAAAAAAAAGGGCACAGTCAGTGTAAAAGAATTGGTTTTGTCGGCACAGTTCCCTTATTCCCCGATGAGAAACAAATACACCTTGACAGAAAGGGATCTAACTACCACTTGGAAGGGGAGAGGGTTTGCATGAGCCACTCACTTGGAAGGATATTCTCCAGGCCAAGCAAACAAGAGTCCAAATTTTGTTTTAAAAAGCCAACCAGAAACCCAACATGTTGAGTTATTTTCCTTGCAGAAAGTGCACTCACTGAAGCTGTCACTGGAAGGAGTCAACACCTCAGTGCTACACTTGCTCTGGGAGATGGGTAAGAGCTAACCAAAGGTCCTTTCCCTTCTGGTTGATTGACAAAGAATTGTGAGACAGGTGTTCTAACTTCTTCATGGAAGTCACCTTGATTTAAACAGCCCCTCTCTCCAGGCTTGTTAGCCTGGCTCACTATGCGGCCATGGAGACTCCATCCCTCTCTTTAAGTGTGGTTCATTGTCTGCATCTTTCACTTCAAGAGGCACCTTGCACTTCTGACATTCAGTTTAAGATGTGGGATTTCTCATGGAATCTGCTTGATGAAGTTTGGGTAATATCCTGTTTGAGTCGAGTGAGTGTGGACCCTCTGCTGTTTCCAGTCTTCTTTCGCCCCTGCCTGGTTGAACACCCATATATCTCTATGTTGGCATATCATGGAGCATAGTAGTCATATGGGATGCACACCTGCTATAAAACAAATGTTACTGCTGTTCTTGGAAGGCAAGTGTTTCTCCAGATCTTAATACTGCCAGAACTAAACCCATCATGGAGAGGAACCACAGCTCATCGAAGCCCATAAAAAGACACTGACTGATTTCAATAACTGTTGGATTAGACCCTGTGTGAAACATCAAACAAACAAACCTTTAGGAATCAAACATGCCTTTCTCCATCCAGATGCAGGGAAAAAGATTTACGAAAATAGATACCTAAGTGAGTGGCTTGCTTTCCAACACTGCCAAACAACCACCATCACTTGCAGGTTTTAGTGTGACCGGACATGCATGATAACTGGGAAGAAAAGAATTCTGCAAACAAAAGAATCCCGCAAACAAAAGAATCCCAAAACAAACAGTATATGTTTAGACACCTATGCAGATATGTATGCGTACGAGCGTAGCAAAGCAAGTAACTGTACATCAAAGAAGCGGTGGTAACTAAATATGTTTCCAGCCTGAGGCAAAAGATTATGCACATTAGCTTAAACCTCTTGCACTGCACACTACTCCAAGTCTAATAGCCCTGCATTTGCAGCAGGTAACTTGTGCCTACACAGGCTGTCACTGCAGATCAGGCAATGTGGAGATCACTTGTCATGCTGTGGTAATGCAGTGGTATATATGAATCTCAGCTGAGTATTTGGTTTAGGGTTATTTTACTGCTTAACAATGAAGTCCAGAGAAAGAGATATTTTATTTTCTCTACTCTTCTTCTCTGATTCAGACTGGTACAAGAGAATTTGGCCTTGTGGCTCTCATGCTACAACAATCCTGTTGAGGATAGTCCACACCACTAATGCATGTTTTGTATTTTTCATTCTAAAAGTGTTCACATTCAAAATGTTGAAGTTTATTTCCTAGACAATGCACGTGCAGTGGAAGCCTCTGAACTGTTCAGTTTAAGCTTAAAAGATGTTCCACAATCAGTAGTTTTAAAAAAAGTGGGAAACCAACTCACCTTTGGAGGAGGATAGAGATGACAAAGCGGTTGTCCTGGATCCTGTTTACACAGCTTCAAGGAATGGCAAACCACATCAGCATTCATTTCCCTGGCTATGCTGAAGGAAATGGTGCATAAAGAAAGACTATTATGTTCTTCTGGGTGCTTGAAAGTAGAAGCTATTTCCCTGGGAAGCCAGATCTCCCCAACACCACACAATAATCTCAGCTCACTTCACTGTGGCCCATAATCACTGCTCAGCACAGTGTTGGGCTCTAATGATTTTCTGCCATGACATCCTACTCAGCATTTAAAATTGGATCCCAGGACTATGGAAAAACACTATGCTTTATATGCAGCACCTGAATCACATATATTGTGACTGTTCTAGTTTTTAAATCAATCATAAGTCTGACAAAGACTTAAAGGTTAAAGTTAATGCATACGGAATTTGGTACATATGAATGTTCAGTCATTAACTCCACAAAATAACGAGAAATCCTTCAAAGATCCTTAACCTTTAATCACCAAGCACGAGTGCTAGGATTTTTTCTTTCTTTTTGGGACGCATCTCTGGGCTAATCAGGAATTAAATGAAAATGTTTGATTATAGCACTTCTTAGTCCTGTAAACACTTTGCAGTCCCTTGGTTAGTTTTAAAAACAAAAATAAAAGCCCTAAGGAGGAGGAAGGTCTAGCAAAAGCTTGGTTAATTAAACTAAGAACTTTCAAAGACGAATAAAATGACCTACATTTTATTTTTTTAATCACTTACATTAAATAGTAGGCTTCCCCAAGAGTGTGAATCAAGGTCAGGGCTGAGAGCATGTAAGGGCTGATAATTAGAAAGTCTGATTAAAGGTAGAATGGAAAGCAAGAGCCAAGCAACATCAGCTTGGTTCTATAGAACCTGTCTCACACACAGAGGTTATTCAAATTCCTCCCTCAGCCAAATGAGCTGAATTTCAAAAGATAATTACATCAGGTGGGCCTGAGCTGAGATTTAAATGGAATATCAAAATGGTTACTGGTGGCAGCCTGTGTTTATTCACTCAGGAATAACTGTGCCAAATGCCAAAGCAGAATCACTCTGAAGCACCTCTGCTTTTTTAATAATAATAATAATAATAATAATAATAATAATAATGTGATTTTAGGAGTGAAATCCCTGCACTTCAATCTGACAGCACATCTGTACATGTCAAGAACAAACTAAGCAAAAATCTGAGAGGACACAGTGATACTTACAGTTCAGCTATGTGTGATCCATAAAGTTCAGCAAGGAAGTAACAGAAACCTTGCAGTTTTTCTAGAAAACATAATTTTTTTGAAGTAGTTGAGCATAGTGAAACTGGTTTTGTAGCAGTCAAAATGCAGCAGCAGTTGATTCATTAAGGTGAATGCTGATCTACTTCAGAGGAAGGCATGTGACTCTGTGACCTCAGTGTAGCACTAAAAAACGGAAAACCTGAATTTCTAACCTTGCCTAAAACCCTTCTCTCGCTTTAGGCAAGCCACATGATAAAGACTAGAATAGAGAATCAGCATTTGTTAAATGTTCTGAGTGTGGCATCATGGAAAAGTCAAAATAAATAATGCATGCCACAGCATCTCCTAAGAAGTTTAAACAAACAGCTCAGTAAGTTTGCAAGAAGAAAGAAAACAAATACGTAAATCAAAGAGCAGAGAGTGATGTTGGGCTAGAACTGCCTGGGAGCTTCTGGATTTGAGAAAATATGTTTTGCGTAGAGCAGGAGTTGTGCAAGAGTAACTGCATCCAAAGAAATATTTGATGCTTTTTGTTTGGCTTCCTTTCACAGCCTGCAGACACGTGCCTTTTTGGGATGCTGTTAGTTGATTTTCTTTTGTCTGGGTGAAGCACACCCTCCATAAGACAGTTCATTAGTGATTTCTTTAAGGCACCATTATAAAAAAAGGTGGTTCCTGCACCTGAGCAAAGACACTGTGGGAGAGATTGGGGTTTGAATCAAAAAAGGGCATGATGGTAGCACTGGTCTGACAGTTCCCATGAAGGAAAACTCCCTGTTTCTTGGCCTGAACAGGCTAGAGATGGTTAACTATGCAAAGGAGATGTCAGCCTTGTTTCGGCAGGGTTAGTGTTGTGAAATGTCAAAAGATGCAGGTTCACATAAGTGCTGTGACAATAAACTTGCAGCTCCTCAAATTCCTGAGAGTTGTCATTTTCTCTTGGACCTCCATTACTCAGACAGACTTGGGGAAGAAAGCACAGTGTCCTCATCTTTCCCAAAGAAAAGCCATAGCAACCCCCAACTTCCCTCCAGCTTTGGGCTATATATTCAATTTTAACCAGCTGGACATGGCCAGGGCTGGGGGTCTGCTGCATACAAGGAGGGTAGGTTTGCTCCGAGGAGGGTACAAAACCTTGTGGCAGTGACTCCACTGGTGGGCATGGATGTGCTCTTTCTCCCACAGCTGCTCTCCTGCCAGGACTGCAAGCACCCTGACTGGCAACCTGTGACTGCAAAAGGAGGACTGGGGCCAGAAAGGCATACCAGGGAACAAAGAGATAATTTTCCCAACACCCTCCTACTCATATGGTGTTGCAGGCAGCTTCTGTAACTATGATAGCTGATTTTTCTTATCCCATGACAGGTGTTTTATTTCAATCAAGTTATTAGCTTCATTTCTTTGTCTCCTTTGTCACATAACTTCTCTCTATTGGCTCTTTAGAAGCAATCTGCAAGTAAGAATTGGTCTCCTGGCTAGAATTAGATTTTTTTCTTGTTCATCTAAAAGGACATCGGAGTCATCAATAACCCTGAGTTTGGTATCACAGCTGATTAGAACACCCTCTGATGAGGCTTGCCAGTGAGGCACCTGGCTTCCTATAGTAGCCTGCAGGCAAAGGTGGCTGGCTTCCCCAACACCTCCCTGACGCATCACAGATGATGGTCTCCTCGTGATTTTCCTAGACCAGCTGGTTTCTGGCCCTGGAAGAGCCAGCTGGCTGCTGTAACCTGTACTGGTGCCTCTGAGAAGAGAAGAATTTGGTTGCCCGCCAGGTCTGGGGAGCTGATGTAGGGGTTTTGCTGGTCACACTGATTTCTAAGTGCTGGTTTCCTTATGCGCATAGGAAGCTTGACATGTAACTACTACCATGGCATAACAAATGATGGGAGGTAAAAAGAATAGTAATAATGTTAGATTGTAGTTGAGCACATAGAGTCCTCTTGGAAGATTCAGATGCCATTCAGGCTTTAGCTTCCAGCAAAACAGACCAAAGCCACAGGCAGTCTTTACAGGACTCGCCCTAGGAGCCAGCCTGCATTCATGTGTTAACAGAGGTCCAGCTCTGATAAAACACTAAAACAGAGGACATTGCAGAGAGGAATCTGTGAGGAAGAACCTGTGTAAGTCAGAAGGGAGGGGAAAAGAGAGAGAGAAAAAGTGATGAATAACTGTGAATGTTCAGGGGCAAGAAAATGATGCCTCAGAGCTTTTTGGATTTTTTTACTTTTGTAGATTTTAGAAGTACTTGTGAAGTAAATGTAGATTTTAATGTCACTGCATTATATCCCTTACCCTGTAGCATAATAGTTACACATACCCAACATTGTAACCCCATTTCATATCAATCCCTCTAAATTCTGTTAACATGTTTAGTCTTCTTTTCAAGGTAGAATTGTAGAGAAGCACCCTAGGCCTGGGCCAGAAGATATCACACAGACGCAATGACCTTCAAGCCCAGAATTTTGGAGGAGCTCCAAGGACTTCACATGCTGTGAAGAAGATGAAGATGATGCAGAAGGGGTCCCAAATGCCCTCAGACCTAATTCCCGAAGGGGTGTGTCGGTGGGCAGAACTGGGCAGAACCAGGAGTGGACAGATCTGGGATTGAATGGACCTTATTATAAAATTATACAACCACTGCCTGGGTGTGGGCATGTCACATGTATTCCCCTGGCCTGAGGCTCACTCTTTTTATCTTATCTTACACACTAAATTGGCCTGGAGTCTTTTTCTCCACAGTCTCTTAAGGCAAAAAAAGAGCTTAAACCAAATTAAATGCTGGAAAATTTAGAGAAAATATAGAGTGTACTTGCTTTTGCCCTGTTTCAGGTAAAAGAGATCCCCTAAATTGCCTTATTCTTACATAAGAACAATCTGGAAGGTTTTCCTCTATATCTTGATAGTCCTAGAAACATGGATTCTGGCTGAATCCCAGAGGATAAATATTTGCAAGAAAGATGCTGTTATCATGTTGCCATTTGCACTTGAGCTCTAAGGTGTTTTCACAGCAGTGAAAACAGACATAGAGCATGACTCAGAGCCAATGGTGAAGGCAAAGGGTATCAAAGCACATTTCAGGTATCAGGCATCTCAGTTTCATCAGGCAGTCAGTCAGTATCCAGGTAAACATATATTCTTGCTAACATCTCTTAACACCGTAAATACTGCCCATTCTTCCAGACCTGGCCTTTCTGTCTGCTCAAGAACCTTCTTCACTAGTGACATTACTAGTCTTATTTTCATAGTTTTATTGGCCACATTGCTTGAATCATACATATTGCAAATATTTCCATACAAATGAGGATGTGGTTCTGTTTTCTACATAGCCTAGGGGATTAAGTGGGATTGACAGGTGCTGAAAATTTTTCTATCTTTTTTTCTGTTTTTTGTTCTTGAACATCATATAACTTTACTGAAGGCTTGTAATCAGAATTATAGGAGGTCCTTAAAAAAAACCCACATGAATTCTTATTCCCTTTTTGGCCCTAGGAAAAACCCCACTGCCATTAATTTGTTGTTGTTATTCTTGCAATCGGTTATAGGCATGTGCATAATTATGAAATTGTTTCTACAAGTGAAATGCATGACCTGCTTTAGTAGGTTTGCTCCTCATGAGCATCCAAAGCTTTTCTACTGTTTCAAGCAGCAAGAAAAAGCTGTTGATTCCTGCTGGCCCCCAGTGTTCACCCCCCAGGAGAGGATAAAGTGGGTTACACTTGTAGCTCCCACACAGTCTATAGGATTTTTCATTCCTTTCAAGTTCAGGGTCAGTTATTTTCTATTGGGTGTATCCATGCATCTCATAGAAGGTAACTGGATTATACAGATTCAACTAAAGGGATAATAGGATTTTATGTGTGTAAAGAATGGCAGCTGAAAAGAAATATCTTGATATGTCAGCAGAACAAGGTCCACTGAGTGGACACAGAGCTAGTATGTCATAATTTAAAGGAGAAAATTGTATTTTAATAGCAGGATTAGTGTTTGTAATTGTAACTTCATGGTTATGTGCCTGTAATTTAAAACACTGGGGATATGACTTATGGAATAGAAATCAGATAAGCGTCATTCTATCAATGAATGAATCCTAGCAATTAGCTCCCTGCCCCATTCTGCATCAGGAAATCCTCTCTTGGAAAGGAGGAAATTAATATTCTACACATATCTTCTGTAAAACTAGGGTTTATGGAGCAAGATGGTTTCTCAAAGATATAATTCGTGAAGTCTTATAAAAATTACTTTTTAATGAAGAATCCTAAGCCATCTTTTTTACATTCATAATGTTAAAAAGATATCATGAATGTGAGATTTAGTTACTTAAATAGTTGTAGGATTGATCTGTGAGGCACAAAGCTATTGTGGCATTCAAACTGCTCTCTATTTAGAGGTGTGCATGTGGACAGCTAAGCACCTTTGGGCAGATAAAATAAGGGGCAGAAAAAGGGGACTCTTACATATAATCATATGGAATAGCTATTGCTTTTGAAATTTGTATCACCAGTTACATTTCAATAGCTTTTCTGCGCATACCAAATCCTCACATCACACCTGTCAACCTCATCTCTTTTTTAAAATTTTACAATAGCAGCTTCCTATATCCACTGAAAACATTTTCAGCTCCACAGTTGCTATGAAGACCCTTATCAATAAGAGGAGTAGTTGGGCATACAGTGAATCTATTCTTCAGCAGCTAACAAAGAGACAAAGGGGAGAAAAAAAAAGGAAAGGGATCTGCATATGTTGGTGCTCAGGTATGTGTGGGCTTAATACAGCCCCATACACTCTAACTTTGGGACAAAATCCCAGCCCCGAAACCAAGCGAAGTCACACCACTGACTGTCCCGTAAATAGCAACTTTCTATCTCCTAGCTACATACATTTGAGATGCTGCATGAGAAGTGGATAATGTTTTTTCAGACTTCACATGAGAATTTTTAATTAACAGAGAAATACAGCAGCACCAGCATAACATATGGTACATTACTTGGTACTTACCAGGTATGTAGTTGCACAGTCTCTCCACGGCTGCCTTTACTGTGCTGTTGTGCCATTGTGCAAGTTGTTCAATTACAGACACCACAAGCACGCATCCTTCAAACAAACAAACAAAAAGAGTGAATACGGTTGTCTGTGAAGTGTGATGAAGTGCCCTGTGCCACAGAAATATTTCAGGCATCGTTGGGCATTTCATTTCTTGAGATGCTCCACGGCAGATAAGTGTTCAAGAAGAAAAAATGTCTGTGAATTTCTGTCTTAATTCAAACCCTGTAAGTTATTATAGGGAGAGTGTGGATGCCAGGGGAACACATAGAACAGCCCGACTTTTACTCTATGGTTCTCCTGGAAAAATTACCCCATTATTTCAAGGCTGAAAATCAAGGAGTCAGGGGGATAGCCACTGTTACAACTGCCTGCTTGGCTACCTGTTTTCTCATTATTTCTCACAAGACAAAAGTTACAGGTCTATACTTGATAGGACTTTCATACCTCTCCACACAAGCCACACAGAGAGATACCAAACCTGGAAAACAAACGGTTGTGACAACCTACAGAAGAGACATCACACCGCAGATGTGTGTACTGACCATGACCAAAGCATCCATGACATCATTTCTTCACAGACTTTACTCTGAAGCTCAGCAGTGCTCAGCACACACAGAGGGTTGCTGGTCCCATTTGTTAAAGACAAAATGTCTTCAGAGTTCATTCTGTGGTTGGAAAGAAACCACTTCCTTTGACCTATAAAACTTGTTATTTCTCATCACTAATCTGGGTGTGAACAAGGCTACAGCCTAGTTGCTTCTTGGACTTGCTATGGCTGAGACTCACAAAATTGTACACTAGTGAAGCATTTCTTGAGATGTGCAGCACTTTTCCTGCTGTTTTGGGGATAAGTAGGTTCAATGTGATCCCCACTCAACAGTCATTCAAAATCCACATTAAAAGCATTCATTCCAAGTCAATTTTAAATTGCTGTAGGTCAGCATTGTGCTTTCTCTGCAGTGGCTTCACTGTTTTATGAAGAATACAGCTTTGGTGATGCAAAGTCTTCCCACTGTAGTCAGACCTGGCAGCCAGAGTGAAGTCCCTGCCTAGACTCAGAGCCTGAAAGGAGAAAGAAAGGAGGGTATCCCAGGCAGACAGTAGACAAGGAGCCAGGATACCAGTTTCCATCAGCCTGGATAAAGATTTCTCTTTGAGATCTCTGTAGCTGAACCCTATTTCCTCTCCTCTGCAAGAAATCCAAGCTCTCAGACTTGCTCTGACACAGTCTAGAAATGGAGGTGAGCTGCAGCAATTTGATGTAGCTGCAGATTCACCTTTTTCTAAAGCTCAAGAGCTTTAATGTTCAGGTTTTCAGACTGGCACAACTCTTCAAAGTGAGCTTTAAATTCCACCCAAGCACCTATGTGCTATTAAATCAAAGTGCTGTTTTTCAACATAAATAACTTTGATGCTTCTATGGATCAAGTAGCAAGTAAAAGAGGAGGTAGTACAATTGGAACTCGCTGTAAGGCCAGTATTTTGAGTCTTCTATTACTTCTTCTACCCCAAATACAGTAATCCAGTGGAAATTACAGTGAACTTGTCACCTCTTTTGCACGGATAAAAGCCCACTTCTCCATACTTATTAAATAAAATGCTCACTCAAGAGATCTTCTGCAGAATGATTTATAAAGCATGCTAAGAGCCATTACCTCCAGTCAGACTAAAAGGATTGGAGATTAAATGGAGACAGATACTACCAAGGAAAAAACCTAAAGCAGGACATTCTTCCCTCTCCCCCTCCCTGTTTCCCCTATCCTTCCAAATAGCCAGAGGCTAGCTAGCCCAAGGAATTAACAGCTCATTAAAAACACAATAGCTCGTAAAGAAAAAAAAAGAGTAGAATAATAAAGACACAAACTAAAGTAGAATAATAAAGACACAAACTAAAGTAAAGGGGACATCCAAGATGAAGGATAAAGCATGCTCTGGACTTGGGCTCAAAGAACACACTAGGGCCTTCTGAATCAGATTTAACCACTAGCAGGTGCCTTAGAACAGCCTTATCATAGAATCACAAAGTGTTTTGGGCTGGGTTGGACCTTCAAAATGCATCTAGTCCAAACCCTGCAATGAGCAGGAATACCTTCAACTACACTAAGTGGCTCAGAGTCCCATTCAACCTGACTTTGAATGTTGTCAGGACTGGGGCATCCATCACCTCTCTGGGTAACCTGTGTCAGTGTTTTATCACCCTCATTGTGAAAAACTCCTTCCTTATATCTAATCTAACCAAAATCTCTTTTAGTTTAAAACCATTACCCCAGACAGAAAACAGACCCTGGGTCCTTTCCCAGGGTAGCATGGGCATAGCCATGCCGGACTGATCCATCCTTTAGCACAGAGATGGCAGTGCACATCCTCAAGACACACTGTAACACATCTAAAAGGCATTACATAGCTTAGTTCTTATAAAACTATATTATTAACATACATGTGCAACCTACAGACAACAAAAACTACCCTTGCCCTGACTTCTGTGTTTTATTTATGAGGATAGAGGCTCAGAAAACCACCTAAATGATGACTTAACCACAAAAACACACATTCTTTCTGTGCCTTCCTTTCTACTCACACCGAGGTCAGGTGTTCATCTAACAATCTTGATGTCTAGAAGTCAAAAAGACAAAAAGGAGTCCAAGAAGAAAGACAGGAAAGAGCTAGCCCTCTGATATTTTCCAAGGTGCACAGCTTTTGTTGTTTTCTCATTCTTTTGCACCACGAGCTTGAGGAATCTACAGAATCATAGAATTGTTTAGGTTGGAGCTGACAATCTCACCTACTGCAGCAGAGAGAAGTGTCTCTCATTTTGCCTGTGCTGTGTAATGCAGTACTCCTGCACTTGCATTCAGGGTCTGCAGAAAAAGGGGTTTATGGACAAACAGCTCAACATCCAAAGAGTTGGGCTGAGGATAAAAATACCCTTGGTGTTTCCATTTTCTGTGCTATACAAGAAGACACTGAAGATGTGAGTTTCTATCTCATGTTTGTCAAAGTACCACAGAGGGAGTGAGAAACAAAAAAGCTATTTTTGGTTCAGCTCTGCCAAACAGAAATAGAATTCTTAATCACAAACACAATCATGTGGGTAACACTACTCAAGGAGCAGTCTCCTGGCAATTAAATGAAAATTTTTCATATTGATTAAGTCAGATAGACACCTTTGTGTCTATTGAACCAGGCCTGAAGGGAGATCTGCTTCACAAGAGGATTAATGGAGCCATCACTGAATTTGTGCAGTACTTAATGCAGTACCTCAGGCTACTAGAAGCTATATGAATATAAATAATAATAATAATAGCCTGACTACTAGGGAAAAACTCACAGAGCTGAACTTCAGAATGTTTGCTCTCATAAACTCATTTTCACTATCACAGAGAGGATGTTTCTGTTCACACTGTTATACCCTCCCCACCTAGGCACCCACAGACCACACCTTGATTATTCAAATGCTCTCCCAGTCAAATGCATTTATTCCAGACAAAACTGATAAAGAAAGTCTTGACTGATTTTAAAAAGGGTCTGCAGTTCTAGTTGGGACATCATCAGACACCGTGGCTGAAGTCTCTGGACCTGAATTTGGGTAGTCCTCCTGCCCTCTGATGGGAAAGGTGCTCCCCAGGAACACATACCACCAACACAAGCCATTGGCTCATCTGCTCTGTTTTCCCTATTGACCAGGTCTTTTATTGACTCCCCCTGGTCCACCTCTCTTTACTCCTTGTGGTCTGCTGACACCTCTTATCACCTTGCCATGAGCTCTGCCAAAGACCTTCTTTTAGAGTGATATCATTAGGAGAAGCTTTTGGGTTGGAGATTGTAAATTACTTGGGGAAAAAGACTGAACTCTGTGCAGGAGGAATGTCTAGGGGTCACTATGGTCTGGGGAGCTTAACCCACCTAGACTCCCCATTTTTTTTTTTTTTGTAAAAACATGCCCCACCAGTAATTCAGATTTATCCTTTGAGAGAACCTATCTCTGGTGCTGGGCTAAACTTCAAGAGGTTAGTGTTTATAAATTCAAGATAATCCAGACTATCCTCACTCCCACTACAAACCTACTCTCCTTTTAATCCAATATATTATCTTCCTCTGAATTTAGTGTCAGGAAAAGAAATGCTAACCAATTATCCTAGCCTTTAATGGGTCTTAATTTTGCTGGCCAAAAATGGAAAATAATTAGTTAGCTAAAAAGGGCAAGGGGAAATCAGATGTCTTCGATTGTAGAAATCTCACTGATTTAATTACTTATGATATGTGCACTAATACAAACTTCTAAGTATTCTGGCATCAGTAGAAAAGTATGTCCTGATCTGGCCAGTCATTAGCAACTATTGCTTGCTTTTAATTTACTTGCTATTTAGATGTGATTTATTTCTCATCATGAGCTGGGTGCATATAAGCCAATGTAAACAGGCTTTATCATTAAAAAAGCTCTAAATTTTTTTTATAGTTGCACATGATTTTCTTTAGAAACAAGTTTCAATAAATTGACTCTGCTATCTCTCTTCAATAATAGGTTTCAATATCCTGACAGGCTGAAGAATGTTTTCTCTGGAAGAACTTCATTGGCATTATAATACCTACCAGCCATTAGAAACTAGACTCTGGTATTAATAAAATGCCTGTCTCTTTTAGCAATAGTTTGTGCCATCTGCTATTAATTTCTGAAGAGATAAGACAAGTCCATAACCATTTTGCTCAGCAGCAGCAAGGTGAAAACTCACACATCTCACACTCATACATCTCTCCATATATTTGAAAGTAGTGTGTAATAATAAAATGACATTTCCAATAAGCTCAGGGAAAAAAAAAATCATACCCCAATAATAAAATCAAAGCTAGAGAAATTAATTTCTTAGCTGTGAAGCCTCTAGCAGTTTGAGCAGACTATTTAACTTAATCCACTTCTGCTGCACAAGTTTGAAAGGCTCTATAATTAGAATTATACCTAGGGATGTCAAAAAGTGTCTGGATAGTGTAAGCTGCCTCTCTAAGTTTCAGATTTGTAGGTCTATTTGTCTGAGTAAACTCTGTTAAATTGG